TGACAGAATCACCACTAAATACCTTGTTTGCCTTGTCAAATATGACTGAGGATTTATTTTATACAGTTATAGAGAAAAAAGAAAACCTTTAACTAGAACCTACAGAGCAGCCCCACAGTGACTTAAAGGACATACAGGGAGACTTTCACTGTTAATTTGTCTTCATCTTGCCCTTTTGTCAACCTGTCAATTTTTCTGCCTCCAACAGGAAGTCTTTCACCGCCTGTATCTCATCTACACAGTGGGTTACTCCATTTCTCTGGGATCACTCATGGTTGCCGTGGTCATCTTGGGATATTTCCGGTGAGTCGATGGCCTCACTAGGTCTGTGTCATTAATCACCTTCACTGCAAACACCTGAGAGACACCGCTCAACACATTGTCAACATTTGAAGGTTGAAATCCTTAACACGGTGACTAGTTTTGATTTTATAAAACACTGTTTTATAAGCATTCACTCCTATACTATGTTAATTGGCGTGGACGCAGCCGTCAAACATTATCAGATATCACCTTTGACCTTTTTTTTTTCCAAAAGCTTATATTATGTTTACCTTTAAAAGGATTCTGCCCCCAGGCGCAGTTTGCCCTACTGTCCGACATTTACGATCTGGGTTATTTCCACCCTGGCTTCATCTTTTTAAAAGCAAATACGGAATATTGTTTTTACAATCCTGCTAAAGTCAGTATGTATTAGGCTACTGTGTGCTTCAGCGACTAAAGTGTATTGATAAATGAGTTCTTTGAAAAAATATCTTTAGAATCAAGTCGAGGGAGTTTTCTCCGTGACTGATTAATGCAGGGCAGATTTGTCATTATTTGCATTTTGCATCTCTGAGGGCAGAGAGTGACAGGAATGACTGTAAAGGCGCTGTTTACCAGTGTTCCCAACAGCGTGACTTGGTGTACAGGCAGCCAGTCAGAGGGTTTTAGGAACTCTCCCAACTGGCACCAGGAAATCTATGGACCAAATGAGTTTAATAAGTTATCCCAGGGGCCCAGCTGACATTCTGGCTCAGAGCTCCGGAATACTCCAGCCATGTCTCCCCTTCAACATGTCAGCGTGTGGACTGGAGATCTCATAAATGTTTTCTAGGGGGAGAGAAGCGATATTTCACATTAGCCACTGTGCCCACGAGGGAAATGCCCACGGAATGATTTTTTTTCTTCACAAATCAATAGTTCTCTTCCGCTCAGAAAGAGCTCATTATCAAGCCTTTAAAAGATAATATTTTAGATACAATCTAATGATTTGCATATTTCGAGATTTGGTTTAGTATTTCCCTGAAAACATTTATAAATGTCCCAATGATTGTTTTGAATAGATCAGAGAACAGCTGAAGTGCATACATTATGCATTAAATATTGTTATCGACCTTCCTCACTTGTCTACAAAACGATGTGACCTTTGCAGTTATTGATCCTGCAACTTGACTTTAATATTCAAGCCTCACGACCTCACGCATCAGCTCCAGAGCAGAATCCCAGACATAATGTTTATGGAGGATTACAAACAGAAAATCGTTGCTCTTATCTGAAAGCATTCTTTTCCCCACACAGGTCAAGACTTTGTTTTTACAGCTCACTTTCAATATTTTAAGTACTTTTTAAGCCACTAAATCTCAAAAATGCTTTACGCTCGGCACATAATTCATCTGGCTCTAATCAGGATCGCACACACACACATTTTCAGCAGACCGATCTTTTGACCCCATATCTCGTGTCCATCTTTTCTCCCCAGACGTTTACACTGCACCAGGAACTACATCCACATGCACCTCTTCGTTTCCTACATGCTCAGAGCGATTAGCATCTTTGTGAAAGATGTTGTTCTTTACTCTGGATCATCCTTAGAGAACATGGAAAGAGTCACGGTGGAAGAACTCAAGTCCATCACTGAGGTGCCGCCAGCCAACAAAACACATTTTGTAAGTACAACCTAAACAAACCGCTGCATTAGGATGAAGCAGGCCGTCTGGTCAGAACAGGAAAACCACCTGTTGGAGCAGAATTACCTTCTTTTCCACCTCAGCACTGCAAAGCTGTAAATGTTCTGCTGCATCAGCAGCACATTAGCCTCATTAAGAATGAATGGCTCTGTCATGAGCCACAAAAGACATAGGACTTTTGAATTCTTGTATTTTTCCTCGTGAAGTTTTATATGAAGTTAACATAGATTTAAACTAAATCACTGCAACCATATGGAAATGTCGTTCTTCTCTCAGTCCTGTATTGAGAATCTCATACATTCAGCATTAACAAGGTTGGGTGGCAGTGGTGGCCTGGTGGATAAGGAAGAGGACTCATTTTGAGCTGCTCACCAAGGTGATGGGTTAGAGGCAGAGGTCACAGTTCATCATGTGCAGCAGTGTGCTGTGTCACTTTGACAATAATAAATATTCACTTTCACTTACAAAACGTGACATTGTTAAGGACAAAAACAAAGGAATCGCAGCAGTATGTATGCAGTTTGCTTGGAAAATAACATCATCTTAGGTTCTCCTAATTTGAGGTGAATGGTTTGTAAAAATATGTTAAAAATATATATTAAAAAAAGACTGTAAGTGTTAATAATTTACATCTCACAGCATGTAGTTATAGTATGTGGAATATTTGTTAATAATGGTCTTTTATTTAGAGTCCGAGCACTTTGTGAAAAAACATGGCCATTAAGAAGTGAAAAATAATATTTCCAGTAAATGTTAGCCATACTATAATATTTTAATATTAGATATTTACATGTATTAGTCAGATATGGTTTGTAAACCAGTGGTGTTTGCCTGGTGTTGAATCCCCCTGATCCTCAGAAAGACTCAGTGTCAAAATCTTAATTTGCAACAGGTTAATTGGTGACCTGAAATTGCCTGCAGGTGTGAGTGGGCCTGGGAACGGCACTTAAATTAACCAGCCAAGTCACGGACCGATGACTTCTCTGGCTGGGCATAAAATGACAGTCTTTCCCCAGATGGTTTGATACACTATCTGAAAGTATAACATTTGATCTGTGTCTTTTTTATTTATAAGTTTATGTATATTCATAAGCCTAATTCCTGTTGTTTGTACAGAGTATAGCGAGTATAAACATGGTGGTTTTACATCTTTGAAGCCTAGAAATGGACCTTTTTATTGCTGTGTGTCTCATGTTGCCTATAGTAACTCAAAGATCTTGAGGCTACAGCGATCATATGTTGATGTCTGAAACAGATGTACGGGGGAAAGAACTTAAACGCATCGGCCCAGAAGACAGCTCGGTCAGGACTTTAATGAGCGCTGGTGTGGGATACAGGTTGTTAAAGCGGGCTGAGGTCATACACAGAGAGGCTAAGAATAAAGCTGAAGCCAGAGACACGCTCGCACAACTTTTATAGTCCGAACAGACTTTGAAAAAAATTTGGAATAAACGCTAATGGACTGGTTTTGGCAGATTAGTGTGTGACAGCTGAAAGACAGGGTTCACACACAAACTGTGGCTGATGACGGATCGCGGGCTAGGTGATTTTCAAACCAGGTCAACACGACTGAACACTCTTAGTATGCAATGCAGCCAACATGATATAGGCACTGGCGCTCCTGCCACTGCTCCATCAACCCCTCGGCCATTTACGTGGTGCAGGTTTGCCTCGGGCTGTTCTCTGCTGCTTCCTGCTGCTTTCACACACATTTATCATGTCCCAGTATCTCTGTTTTGATTTGCTACAAAAACTACACAACAAACTACACAATTAGACTTCTGTCTCAACTATCAATGCCGACCGTCTTCAACAGGTGACATACAACAGCTCAAAAAAATCATGCAACGTGTTATCAACCTAAGGAGAGAGACATACTGACATAGAGAGAGAGAGAGGGAGAGAGAGAAGGGCATGTATGTATATTCATACAGGAGAGGAGCTAATGAGACACAGGTGGAGATCGTTAATTAATCAACATGGAGGGAAACACAGGCATAAATAGAAACATGGCAGCAACTGGGAAAAGAGACTAGATATGAAACACAAGAAATAACCACAACATAAAAAGCCTGTCTACCAGAGGGAGATATTACCTTAACTGGAACGATTGACTGTAATAATGTCACCTTTTTACTGTCATTATAAAACAACCTAAAGCTGTGCAGTGCTGCAGAACAGATTCAGTATTATTTTGAAAAACAAGACAAATTAACTAATTACACTCAGTTTCCAAGCTCTTTAAGCAGCTTACAAATATTTTTTTAAATCGATGTGAAAGTTAAAAATATGAGGTTTAACTGATTTTTGTATTTGGAGTGAAAAGGAATCGCACAAAACCCCCTAAACAGATGCTTGGCAAACAGGACAATTAATGAGTTGAAGGAGTAGAAGTGAGTGTAATAATCATGGCGTGACAATACCACAGCAACAGCTGAGGCCCGATGACGGTGTGAAGGTTGACAAACTGTGGCCCAATCAATGGCTGCACTAATCATCTTGGGCTTCTGTGTCTCGCACACAGGTCATCAATAGAGGAACACAAACATATTGATTATTAGAAGCCTTTGTTCACACATTAATAAGCCAGGATGGCACAAGATTCACACTGTCCAAACACAAGACATGAGACAAGCACAGACATGGAATACCCGCTGGTACTTGAGGTTCATTTCATTCATTTATTTCATTTAGTCAAGTGCTGTTTGACATCCACCCATTTTTGTTTTTCTATTGGTCATCACTGAAAAACATCAGAAATACTAAAAGTGCATTAAGATTTTCTTTCTTCATTATTAGTATTAGTATAATTATTATAATATATGTAATGCAACACTTTAGACCCAGAGGTCTGAGAGCTCAGGACGGTAAACATTATTTTTACCACAGTTACAACTGCATAGTAACAGCCTGCTTGGCAACCATAGCACTTTCCCAAGACAACATCGGTACATGTACAGATATTAGTATTGTAATGAAAACCAGCTGTATGTAAGATTAGGTTTTTAATTAATTTTAAATTGTTTTCCTCTTTGATAGTTTTACAGTGTTTTTTTTTATTATTAATGTAAGAGAAGTGGTCCGGGAGTCGTGAATGCACTGCCCCTAATTAACAGGTTAGTGATGTCAAGACATTCAATAGAAAATGGGTTTTTAAGGAGGCCTTTGAATAAGGCTTGAGTCAATATTCTTTGTGAGTGAGAAGCTTGGCTCTTGGGATACAAGAGGCGTTTTTTCATGTTCCGGTGAATTATGCTAATGTACATTTGTCTGGCTTCGTAACAAAATTATAGAGATGGTCATGAATTTAAATGAAATCTTGTGTTTTTGTGCAGAGGCTACCACAGACGGGCTTCACACAGTGTCTAAAATATTTTATTTTTATCTATTTTCTTGAAACATACTGCAGTCAATTTAAGCAGCTCTTTTTGAAGATTTTCCCACAAAACTTTAGACAGATAAAAAATGTTAAAAAAAAAAAGTTAATGAAATTATAATACATTTACGATCCAGTGTAAATGTATTATAACTGTTCAGTTCAGCTGGCTCTGTTTACTATGCACAAAGTATTTTTAATATATTTTATTTATTGATTCCACATTTTATTCATACTGTATTTTGCCTAATGTGAAAACAGCCTCAATTTGAATTTTTTGTTTAATACAGAAGAATGAAGAAGTAGCGGTGAACATTTTCCTACTTCTCCTCACTGTTGTTTGTGTTTGCTGTTTTTTTGAATGCAAAAAATATACTTTGTTAGCACTGTGTTCAACGGACAATAGCAAGGTGTTTGTGTGTGGGACTGTTTGTCAGCGTCGATATTGATTCACGTCTTCTTCTCTGTGTGTAGATTGGCTGCAAAGTGGTTGTGACCTTGTTCATGTACTTTCTGGCGACCAATTACTACTGGATCCTTGTTGAGGGTCTTTACCTGCATAGCCTCATTTTTATGACCTTCTTCTCAGACCGAAAGTATCTGTGGGGCTTCACTCTGATTGGCTGGGGTAAGCTTGCTTTATTTACGTTGTGTTTAATAAACTTGTAACTAGGGATTGATTTGTAGGCTTTACACTGAGCACAATGATATTTGGTATTTCATGTTTTCTATATAATATATATGATAATGTTAGGACACAGATATGTGGGTGTTACAGTTCCTGCATTGTACACACTGTGCGTAAAAGTCAAAAGAAAAAGCACAGCGCATACAATGTGGATGCTGTGTTACCCAGGTTCTACACGCTTGACGTTCTTTTAATCCATCATCCGTTCTTTGTTTTTCTAAATCATCATTTTTGTATATTTTCCACAGGGGTACCAGCTATGTTTGTGACCGCCTGGGCAACTGTAAGGGCCACGTTTGCTGACACAGAGTGAGTGAAAATCAAAGGGAATATACTTTCACGTTTCAATGCAAAACATAAAAAAAAGAAAAGAAAACCCAGCCCAAAACATTTTGGCAGGAGGGCAGAGAACTCTTCCCTTCACTTCAGTTGGAGCTTGTCAAAAGCAGTTAGCAGACAACTGCCTCCAAACTGTCCGTCATCTTTAAATTACTTCCAAACAGCGGTCAGAACAGGGAGGACTGTGAAGCAGTAAGCATACTTAACCACACATGGCTTTTCCTCAGTCTGATTCTGCCTCCCCTACAGGCTTCACTGGGCAAGAAAAAACAAACTAAGCGTGATAATTTCTGCAGCTCCACCGTGCACATTCAACAGTAAACGGTAGTGTGCACAACAAATTGACAGGAGGAATCAGACGGAAAACATCTTACATATGCCACATTGCTTGTAGGGTATTTAGGTTTTTTTTATAACTGTAGATCATGTGTAATTACATTATAGAAGAAGAAGAAAGAAAAGGCACCGACACAAAAACACGGAATCCAAAGCACCGACAGTCGACCACCGCTATAAAACGTTTTCTTTGAAATGTGAAAAATGAAAAAAAAATCATTGCGAACACACAGCAGTTGTTGATCCACTGCTGCCTTTAATAATACCCCCTGCCTCCTCCGCTTTCCTCTCTCCGCTGTATATTTTATTTAGAAAATTACCAGGTAAGTGAATTTTATACGTTTAGGGCCAACAGTCAAATGGAAAGTTAAAGATTTAATAATGAAATGAAAATAGAATAATCACCACATCCGCTGGCATTATCCTGATTATCCTTACCTATTTGTGTACCACAGGTGCTGGGACCTAAGTGCAGGCAATTTGAAATGGATTTATCAAGTGCCCATCCTGGCTGCCGTGGTGGTGAGTGTACAGCCGCGTTGCTTTCACCGTTTCTCCCACTGTCTCTGAAATTGCAGCATGATTGCAGGTGTCTCGCTGTGGCACCTGTGACATAAAACCCTCTCATTTTCCCCATGACACTCAACACTGTCTCTGTGTCCACTCTAGGTTAATTTTATTTTATTCCTGAACATCATCAGAGTTTTGGCCACCAAACTGCGAGAAACAAACGCAGGACGGTGCGACACAAGACAGCAGTACAGGTACTGAAGGATGTCCTTTGATTATGTCCGCAGCACAGTGGAGTATTTATGATGTGAAAAGTTAAGAACGTCAGTTTTTGGCGCTCACACATAATAAATTCCACCATCTTTGTTCCACCATCTATCCACACATTGTTGCTCTGTTACAAAGTTTATACGAGGTCACTGACAGAAACAAAAACTTGTTGACGTCCCCCGGGAGAAGTTGAAATGTTAGAAGTTATTATTTGATTGGCTTGTGCTCATGGTTTTTCATCGACTTAACCAATAGTTATAATCAATTCATAAAATGGCCGGTAACTTACGTCTTCACCGGGAGAGCAGTCACTTAGTTGATACACATTTACATCACTGTGGGAAGACTTTTCCTACAGTTTTCATTAGAGAGCCTAAAATACCATCTCAAATAAAACATGAGTGTCGATGTTACACAGACCATAAAAACATAATTGTTGTGTTTTAATGTGCAAATTGTCAAAACATTTTCTTTTCTTTTCAGAAAACTGTTGAAGTCCACATTGGTGCTAATGCCACTATTTGGTGTCCACTACATCATATTCAATGCCATGCCGTACACGGAAGTGTCAGGAATTCCCTGGCTCATCCAAATGCATTATGAGATGCTGTTTAATTCATTCCAGGTAAAAACCACTGTTGTGTATTCAACAAAAATGCCAATTTGGCAACAGGGGGTTGAAATACATTTTAATGTGTGCTCTCAAGCTGAACAAATCCGATAAGCACGATTGGAGTTAGAAACTTGAGTCTGACATTAACACAATCAGATGTATTGACATCTACCTAATTGAGCTCTGGTGCTAAGATTGAAAATTTATTACGCTGGACCTACAATGTGAGGAATGCAGGCCAGTTGTTGATTTAAAATGTCACCTTAAATCAAGACCAAATGTTTTCTTTCTTTTTCAGGGCTTCCTGGTTGCTATCATATACTGCTTTTGCAATGGGGAGGTAAGAAATCCAATGCGGTAGTGGGCTTTTGAAAAAGAAAAAAAAACTATTGTGGTATGAAAATTCTAAATAACTTTTCCCCCCTCGAAGGTACAAGCTGAGATCAAAAAGTCGTGGAGCCGGAGAACGCTGGCACTGGACTTCAAACGAAAGGCTCGCAGTGGCAGTAACACATACAGCTATGGACCTATGGTGTCGCACACCAGCGTGACCAACGTCACTGCCAGAGGACCGCTGGCCCTCCACCTGACAACAAGGCTGGGCCCAGTGCCTGTAAATGGGCACAGGAACCTGCCCGGGTACGTGAAGAACGGCTCGGTCTCTGAGAACTCCATCCCGTCGTCAGGACAGGAGCTTCACATTCCTGAAGAGGAGCATTCTGCTCAAGTCAAGCCCTGCGACGCTGAGAAACCCTCGCCCGTGGTTGAGGAGGAGAGGGAGACAGTCATGTGACCGTCAGGCTGTGGAACACACGCCGCTGAACGTGAGTTTGGTGTATGACTGATTGCGTTGCCAGTGACAGTTCTTTCTTTCATTCCTGTGAATCCAAACAAAAACATTCCACACTGATGTGGATCAAGGCAACAAAAAGGGTCCATCATTTTTGACAGCTGTGCTACATATTTTAAGAAAGGAAAAAAAACCCTTTTTCTGTGTGGCAAATGCTCTTTGAAGCACCTGCCACAGTGAATGTACATAAAGCTGGAGAGAGACTGGCTTTTCCCAACCTTTTTCACTGCCATAAGTGTTGATTTCTTTTGTCATTTTTTGTCTTTTTATCAGCAAACTCCCTGCGCTCACGTCTTGTGCATACATCAGAGGAACAGCCTTAATCGTCACATACGTACATACGTTGGTGTGAGTGGAAGTAATAGCTGTTTCATGAGTCTTTAAATTAAGTCCGTGTGAGTAGCATCAGTGTAGATGTGCATGTTTCGTCGCACGTGTTCATGGTTTCTCACTGGTTGTTCCATTTCAGTGTATCCACTTCAGTGTTAAAGGAAAGGTACTCAGGTAATTGAAGTCATTTGTTGTTGCACACATTTGATTTTCCGCTTAATCAGCAAAAAAAAAAAAAAAAAAGAAAGAAAAAAGAAAAGACTCCAGTTTCATAGTCCAGGTTCATAATGAGTCTTGTTTTCAGTGTTGTACAGTCTCTGCTGTTTATAGGAACTATTGTCGACTGTTTGCAATTCAGATGCAACCAACACTTGTTAGGATGCAGCATTGACTTGTATTCATTTGTACAGCCTAACCAGAACCACATGCTCAGTCCTTTTCATAAACATTTCACGCCTAAACTGAACCATAATTTGATTTGAGTCCAGAATCAAGATCCTGCTTCTTTGGGACCAGATTCGATTCCATATTATACTGAAACTGATGCTGAAACAAATGAATTAAGAATGGAATTACATTTTCCATATTATACTGAAACTGATGCTGAGAAAGAAAACAATTACATTGTTGTACACAGTTGTACACAGTATTTAAAGTTTGGATATTCCTTGCTCTTTCTTTTGGGGGTCAGTGTTACTTTGAGAAGGAGATCGTTATGAAAGGTGGAAGGAATCATGTCCAATGTTCTCACAACATTTTTCAAAGGAAGAGACCACCCCCCCACACAAAAACACAGGAAGGCAGGAAATGGTCAAATATTCAACTGGAATGTTCATTAAGTAGGGATTCTGGAGAAAATCTCAAATTCCTTTGAAATTCCAAGAGTGACATTTGTGGTGGATATGAAAGAAAAGCCCGGAATGAATAACAAAGTTATTTTTACAGATGGCCCAACGTTTTGCTGCTTTCTAATGTATATACTAATAATATACTGCTTATATAAGTCATAATGTTTACATTTTAGAAATATATTCTTATTGTGATCTATGTGTAAAGATCGTTCTGGTCCCCTGTATGTTGATTTTATTTACCGAATGTTTGTGATATTTAATTCTGTACATAGTCCATAAAAAAATGGTGAATTTCTATTTTCGGAGGTGACAAAGGGCATTCATTCTAGCATTTATTAAGACATTCCATGACATTTGCAGGTTGGTTACATAGGAAGCCAAAGAGGAAAGGAAGCATATTGGTAGTAACAGTGGCCTCAACATCTTATTATAACAACAATTAAAAATAGTAATTTAAAATTTTGATTAGTTACTATTTGTTAGTTTGTTCAAAGAGATTCCAGTTTATTGTCAAGTATTAAGTGTCAAAACGTTGCCAATTCTGCTGTGGCAGTTGAAGTGTTCTTCAGTTTGTGTGGGGAGATTCAAGGATTAGAGTTAAAGCGGCTGTGTACCACTTTCAAATCGAAACAAAATTTCACATTGAAACAATTATTAGGAATTCACTGCTAATTAAGGCTCTCGACTTTAAGAACCAGGTTTTTTTTTTAACATTGACCAGAACGTTGTAAAAGTAAAGCCAGATGTCGAACAAAACATTTCGGCGGACGGCTGGAAACACAAAGCGGTGCCTATGACACAATTACACGATTAGATTCAACCAATAGAAAGTAACTCAGCAGCTTCATGTGACCAGTGCTTATTTCTCCGTTTTGTTGTTTTTGCCATTGAAAGAAAGCTGAGTGCACTGGAGTGACAACATTGTTTCTCTATTTCTGCAACTCAACAAAAACAAAACTTTTTTTTATTTATTTTTTTTCTACAAAAGCAAGGGAGACAAAAGAGGAACGACACCTCGTGACAGGCATGTCAGAGCCAGCGGGGAATCACAGCCTGTGCCGCCTTATCAGCAACATTTCTTTTTCCTTTGGAAAATACTTTTTTAATTTTTTTTATTTCAAGGTTTACACATCAGATATGAAACTGCCTAAATGTGTTAATTACTTATTAGTAATCAAAAACATTTATATATATGTTTAAATGAATTGATTATGAAAATAATAATAATTTTTACACCTCAATTATTAAATGAGGTGTATTAACTAATACAAAGGTGTTTCCAAACTCAACTAAACCATAGGTTACACTTGGTTTACAGATAAACAGATTAATTCATCCAACTTTGTCAGCATCAATAAATAAGTCTCACCTTTACAATACACTAGAGATTGATTAAATAAAAAGAGTAATTTCAACAAAAACATTTGATTTGTAAAAAAGCCTGAAACTATTCAGATATGTTTTTATTGTATCTGTAAAGCTATACGTAGAGTGTTACATACTGTATATGGATTCAATGGGTTGCATTATGATGACTAAGCTATGAATAAATAACTCAAAGCATGCAAAAATCTCAAACACACTGTTAAACTCAGTTTCTAAATCCAAACATGGTTGGATGGTTCCGGAGCATGAAACATTTTTTGTAAAAAACAAACAAACAAAACCTTGGAAAATGACATTTGAGCACTTTATTAACAGATAATACAGTATTCTATTCTGATTGTATGATGTACTATGATTGTGTTTTGAAGTCAATTGTAAAGTACGGCCAATAACCATAGAGCTAATGTTGTATTTTGATGTTTTTTGAAAATACCTCCCATGGAAGTAAATGTTTTGAGAGTTGTTTTTTTTTAATTATTATTATTATTTATCTCGTGCAGAACTGTTGTAGACGGTGATCTTATAGAAACATTGTGTGAACGTGTGTTTTTCAGGACACCTCTCATTCTTACATCCAAAAGTAGGCATGATGTAGATATTGCTGTAAACCTTGAATGAAGTCACAAAATATTTTCTGCTCTTGTGTTTGTTGGTAAATTGTGAATATGTCAATAAACCTGTAATTTTACTGTACTTCTATTTTTGAATCTGTTATTGAAAAGAAAACACCACCACGTTTTTAGACGTCATTTTTTTTCCTTTATTGTAAATATAATCTCTGTACAAATTTCATTTAAGAAAAAAAGTGTCCAAAGTGGTTGCAGTGAAAAATATGAAAGTGTCTTTATGCAGTTGTTGTCACCTAAATGCAGTTCATTTTTGAGATTTCTTGGCTCCTCCTTTGGCTCCCGCTTTCGCTCCACCTTTTCCTCCCGATTTCTTCCCTTTTCCTTCATCATCTGCATTTTTGGACGTTTTCTTTTCACCTTTGTTACCTTTCTCACCTTTCTCACCTTTCTTTTTTGTCCCATCGTCTTCATCTTTTTTCCCTTCTTTTGCTTCTTTGCCTTCCTTTTTGCCTTCCTTTTTCTTTTTCTCTCCTTTTTCATTATCCACTTTCCCAGAGACCGTTGTCACCTCTTCCTTTACTTCTGCCTTGGCAGCTGCAGGGGGAAAATATATATATAAATAAAGGCATGGAGTATCAACAGGCCTCAGATGCTAATGATAAAAATGGAATTAAATCCAATGCCGTACTGAGCTGTTCTATCTGTTCTCATACATACGGTCTACTTCATATTTTAATTGAATTTTTTTGAAGTGTTTTCTCCTGAAAGAAATTTAGTAAAAATGATAAGAGGTAAAAAGAAAACATCTCCTCATTATCTTTCCAAGGAGCTACACAAAGACGTGCACCGAGAACACAAACATCTTTTTAATGTTTATTAAAATAATATTTTGGAATGCAATGCATAGCAAAAAGATTGCATTATTAAATATCACCAATGCATTTATTTTCAGATTGTATTCAATCAGATTAGCCCACTGTCTGTTCAGAATACATAAATATATACTTCAGGTGATGCCATGAGCTCTGCCCTCTCTGCAGCCTAATCACCATCATCATCTTCAGCTGCCGCCCTCAGATCAGCAGCGGCATCGTCTCCACCTGTTTCCTCCAGCTGCAGCTGATGACCTGCTCAGTAAGCCCGGCTCACAGTGAACACACTGTCACATTGTCTGTTCTGTTGTTCATGCTTGATGTCGAATTGTATATGTGCTGAAATTGTTTATAGTTTTCTTTTTCTTTTTTTGGTTTTGTTTTGTTTTTTGGTGGAATTCTGTTGTTGTTGTTTGTTGTTGTGCCCAGTTATCACTCTGACTCAGCGCACTGTGCCACTCCGTTGGCTGGTGGCTCACCAGCAAAGCTTTCATAAACTAAATGCCAGTAACAACCACCGCAGCTTTGCACATCAGTCCTCATCAGCGGTGCGGCACTGCACTGACACTCTCTAAGGCAGAGGTGGGCAATTAGGTCCACAAAGGGCCGCGGTGGCTGCAGGTTTTTATTCCAACCAAGCAGCAGCACACCTGTCTTGACTTATTTAATCAACTGCCATGAGTCTTCAGACAGCTGATTGGTCAGTCAGTGTGTTCTGGACAGGTTGGAAGAAAAACCTGCAGCCACAGCGGCCCTCTGTGCCCAGGCCTGCTCTAAGGGGAGGCCTGACTGTCTGCCGGGCCCCAGGGGAAATCCCGGTGTGTTTAGGGACTGTCATCCAGTTACTGTGGCTTTGATGAGTTTATTCCCGTACTTTCGGTTGTGCCTGCAGTCTTTCTGTCCTTAAATAAGGGTTTTCATATTTATATTTATATATATATATATGTATATATATATATATATATTGTAGTTCCCTGCATACAGTAGGTCCTAGATTCAAAATACTCAGTCCTTGCATATGTTTTTTATTTTTATTGACTGCAAGAGCGGGTGTTTTGCATTTCTTGCGGTGGCGTCAGGAAACAATCATTTTCCTCTAAAATAGAGAAAGTTTCAGAGTTTGACCTGCATTTATTTATTCATCCTTTACTTTTTTAAAAACCTTTTTGGAGTAGTAGGGTGCTGGAGCCTGTTCCAGGATTAATTTGTAAGGGTGGACTACACCATGAAATATTTGCAAGGCCATCTCCAGGCCATATTTAGAGATCAGTAACTGTTAACGATTTGATTAATTCCTATAGTCAATTTTGATTATGCAGTAACTTAATCCATGCTTTAATCCTTGAATGTAACGTACAGGGATTGATATCTAACTCTTTTGGCTCAGTGGCTGCAGTGAGCTGTAGTGGCTGTACTTACAAACAATTATGTAGTTAAGGGGTAAAATGCCAAAGCCTGTTGTTTGACTAAAACCTTGAGAGTACTTATGACTTGCAAACAATTATTTAAATGTTTGTTGAAAGGAGTGAAAGTGAAAGGAAAACAGCAGGTAGAAGAATCACTCAGACCCTAGCAGGGTCAGGTTTCAAAAGCGAAGCAAAAAATTGTTGTTACTGAAATGTTAAAGTAGTAACAGAGAATTAAAGGATGTTTTTCTTCTGGTACATTGATTTGGTGGCTGTATTTATCTGTTGACCTCAGGAAGAATGAGTTCTTCACTGGTTTAACATACAAAGTACATAAGAAAAATTTGGGAAAAAATGTGTGAAAAAAATTATCTTGAGTTTAATGTCGCTTTTGCAAATGCTGATCTTATTGGAAGGAAATAAGAAGTAAAGCTGACCTGCTGTGTCAGTGAATGTCTGACTCAACAGTTGATCAGATAAATCTTTGCTTTTATTCAAACAAACAAGTTATTCCTACAAATTACATTGAATAAATTGATATTTCATGTCTTTTTCTGCAGCTTCACTGACAACATTTGACTTTATTTTCCTACAGCCTGCAGTCTAAAAGGATGATTTACATCTGACTTAGGAAAGGTTGCTACAATGACACATACAAATGAGTCAACCCGCCAAATTACTAAGACGGAAAAAAAGAATCTTTAATTAGAGATGGGAGCAGCATTAACTTTAACAATCATTTTGTAATCACGAGGGGTACAGGAGAATGATTTGCTGTATCGAAAGCAAGGCTCAGAAAAGGCGTCAGCTGGTAGAGACAGCATCAGGCACCAACAGAGGCAGGCTTCATGCAGTCACATTTACTCTGAATAGCTCTATTTTTGACACTTCCGTGCACATATGTAAAAATGACGAATATACGAAAAGGAACCGAGCTTCACAAGTACAAAATTGTCTACGAAAATAAGTATAAACTATGAAAATACACCAACTGTAATAAGAATCTGACCTGTTAAAGAAATATGTTCTGTAGTATTGTACCGACAAACTGAAACTGTCCTGCTGTTATACTAGAACTATTTGCTGTACAAAGCAAAATCTAGCCACGCGTTTCAAATATTTAGCAGAAGGTGTTAAAAGAGGAGGAAATGGACTGGCTGCAAGATGCATGCTGACGCTTAAAGGGGTGACTTGAAGAGTAGCTTTAGCTTTAAATCACCTTTTGCGAGAGGCTGAGGTGGAAGATAAGATTCTAAGAAGCAGACAGGGATGACGCTATGTCATCTCCGGCAAACTGGAGGAGCTAGGCTGCTCATCGCTGCCCCTAACTACTGAGACCTGGCTGCTTTCTGGGCTTTGAGGCTGGACCTGCTCAGAAACTGTTTGAATGGCAGAGGCATCAGCAGTAGCTGCAAGAGAAGCAGAGAGAGGAGAGGAGAGAAGAGATGAGAGCAAAGGACAGGAGGAGACCAGAGGGGAAAGGAGAAAAACTCAGTTTAACAGAGCGTAAAAAAGACTAGACTCAGAAAAGTAAATAAGGTGATTTTCTTCTTTTTTTTGGGATGAAAGTGAAAAAGCTGAAATATTTAACAAGACCCAGAAAAAATGGGAAGAAAAACATCTGTTCTTTTAGCCTAAATGGAAAAAAATAGGTCAAGTCCTCAGGACTCATGAGACAAGTCAATGCGCTCTACACTCTGAGACTACTCACTGCCATAACACTCAGATAAAAGGTGTTATTTTAAAATCCCACATTAGTTGAAGAGACAGTTGTATTGTATACGTTTTGTATAATCATTTGAGGGTGTGAAAATGCTACTTAAAGTAGTGCACGTGTCACACAGGTGTATTGAGCACCATACTGTGTTTGCAGTGTAGAACTTACATCCTGGGATCTCCGTCAGCTCGTTGAGTGGTGGCACTGTGTCCAGTGTTTCGGCATATTTCTTGGCGGCCTGTCTCTGAGTGTGACGCGCTTCTATTTCCTTTTTGGTTCTTGGGATTCGACATTTGAATATACAGCACAGAGTGATGACTGAGAAGACAAACAAAACGCACATGAAGCAGCAGAGGTTAGTTTAATGGCTGTATTATCTGGATACATTAAGCAAGAACTCCTGCCTCTTGTGTTTTTCTCGTTTCGTTTGCTAACGTTTTGTCTCCAGACACAGTGGTTTGTAATCACTCTGTGAAACAATGTTTTCACCATGAAGTCAGTTTTGAGAATTTATGAATGTGATGAGAGTAACTCACTAACTGCCAGAACAAATATTGAGAAGATGCCGATGACCTGCCACAGACGCAGCCCCCAGAAAACAACAGTCTCTGAGGTCACTGGGTCTGGCTTCTTTGGGGGGTCTGTGGGTAGGAGCTGTTGGAGAACGGAGAAATAGAAAAGAATCAGGTCTGCATATTGTAGATAGAGTTAAAAAAAAACAAGTGTTACAGGATTTGAACGTGAGGTTTTTTTATATCAATATCTGATGTAATGGATGTTCATGAAGATGTTATTGGGACCTTTGAGGAGCTCTGCTCTGTTACATAGTTACACATTGTTTTCCACTTACTGTATGTATTGGCTGTTTTTAGATTACACCAAATGGACATGGATTTAGATCTGACCAAAACCCTAAAGAAAGAGTTTCGTGAAAAAATCCCAGAGACCATCTATGTTTTGAAGTCAGTTTTGTTGACTTTGGAAACTTTTGCTCTGTACTGCATGACGTTTTTTGTCATATTTCCAAGAAATCCATCTTGGGAGCAGGGAATCAGAAAAGATAAATATGTTTCGTACGTTTGTGTGTGTGTGTGTGTGTCTAAGATTAGGCAGCAACAGTTGTCAGATAAACCCATCAGCAGGGTTTCTGTCTAAATCAATGACATGATTGGATCATGCCAGGTGCTTTTGGAAACTCTATACTTTAATCTAAAGTGCCAGGGGTCAGAAAATGGACGTTTATTGCATTTACTGTTGTCACCAGCAGCAACGTCACATTTCCTTTGAAACAACAACCAACAATTGTCCTACAAGTGAACAGCGACAGAGCAACCAATAATAAAGTTTAGGGATTAACCAGGAAAAAGGAAACATTCATATTGATTTGATTAAATCACTGCTTTGTTGATTTTTTTGTTTGTTTGTTTCTTAAACAAGAAGAGACAGAAAAATAACCAGCAAAAGGACATCACGACCTCATGACTCATGACAAAGACACTTGAGAAGAAAATCATCTGAATGAATTTACCCTGTGTTTGTGCTCCTCACCCGTGGGGATTAGTGAGGCAGAGATTATTAAAGATGGATAAGAAATTGTAACTTCTGCCTCAAGTGTGATTACGGAGGGTTCAGTCCTTCCCTCTGGTACTGACATACAGGAGGATTAGTGGCTGCGAGTCTTAAGTTTAATTTTGTTGGAAGACAAATAACAAACATACAGACGCAAAGACCTTAAGTAACTTTACGTTTGTTAATTACCAGTTAGTTAACAGAGTTAGGTATCCATTAGCTGGCTGGTTGTTGAGTTGATCGGGGATCAGAGGTGTTCTGGCTGGAAGCCGGTGTTAACAATTGTCATACCTTGACTTTGTTAACATGTAGATAGTGTTCAGTTCATTAAATATTTAAAATAAACAAAAGTAATATGTCAGAGGCGCTGAGAGGGCTCGGTTCTCGATTCTTGATTCTGGTACCTTCGATGACCTTTCATAATTTGATGCCCTCAGGGTTGGGTTGCAGAAAACAAGAGCTCCGTGAATGTTAATAAGTATGTAATAATATGAAATATTCAACAGGGTAATATCATTATTACCCACCAAGCTTCTACGGTCAATATTACAGATCATAAATGGTCGTGTATTTGTTTTGTTTTTCAGTGGTTGTCAGTTGGCATTTTTACCAAAAACCATAGTATTCACATTGTGTAAAATGTATTCAAACATTATCCACCTCTCTACACACATTCAAACATGTGTGCCTTCACCTCTAACACCGTGTTTTGACAGTGTCAGTGAGCCGCCTCCTCACCTTATTAGCCAATAAACCAGCAACTAAAACGACAAACACTCTTTTCGTAAAATTAGTTTGATGGTGAAAACACCTACAGCTGCCACAGAGAACCCTCCAGAATAATCCGTCCAGAGCAGGTGCAGTGGAGGACACAGGGATGCAACAGTGTCTTACCTCAGGATCCGGGATCTGGGAGAAGACGGAGGACAAGCACTGGGACAGCAGTACTGCTCCCCAGCCCCGCAGTAGGAGCTGAGGTGGACACACAGGCTGATCTCCAACCATTCTCTGTCTCCCTACAGCCACCCTGCCCCCCTCTCTCCCTCTCCAACTGCTCCTTCTCCTCCTCCTCTCTGTCTGCCTTCCTGACTGTACTGGCGCCGTGTACAGGACAGGACCACAATGGCCCTGAGTGATTAATGGTAACCGTGGTGCAGGCAGCTCTCTCCCATGCACGCTTTTCTGCCGCTCTCCTCTATCTGTGTCCTCTCTGGTACAACACTGTCCTAAGAGACGACGTTAGCTGTACTGTTGCTGCTGCTGCTGCTGCTGCTGCTGCTGCCAGCTGAACACTGCTCGTCCACAGTGGAGGAAGCCAACCCTGCAGTTAGGGTACATTAATTAATTATTAGACCTGGTGTGCTTTACAGCCAGCTCAACCTTCTGGGAACAAGCAGTTCACATACAGTGTAGGGGGATGGGCGGTCCAGTTAGCCCAGAGGCTGGCCTGCGCAGGACAGTAAAATTGCCATTGGTGTCATCATCTTGGTTGACTGGAGTGCAAAACATTATCGCAGCCTCACATTCTCTGGGTGGTAAAAGGGAGACGGAAGAATGCTGCAGAGAGAACCACTTTAAAGACAAACATTTAGAGTCAAACCACTTTGTAAACAACAATTTGTGACCGAGAATGCTTTCAACTCTTGGCAGCTGTGTGCAGTATTTTTTAATATTGTTTCTGTTTTAGGAAAGAGAACTATATTCTATTTTGTTTTTCAGTCATGCTGATAAAGCCACAGTAATTCTGAGAAAAAACAAGAAACGCCATCAGTAAGTCATTATGGGTTTGAATGAGTAGCCACATCTAACCCACCGTGAGTTTCTCTTACTACTTTGAATTGGTCCAACAGATACTTTTGTTCTGTTTGAAACATAAACAAACACAATATTGTGTCAAATAAAAAGGCGTCTTTGACAAGTGTTAATTTGTTTGTCTCTACAAAAATGCACCTTCATCTAGAAAGAAAAATGAAATCAATAAAGAAAGCGAATGACCATTACATTGAGGGAAAGAATACGGTGAGAGTCAGGAGTGGCAAAAAAGTATGTAAAGATGGTGCATGACACGTAAAAGATTAAAGAAGCAGTGGTCAGCCAGAGTCGTCAAAAGATTTATACAGGGATCAGACTAGTCTATAAGCCACTACTTTTTTCACACGCTTTGAACCCTGCGGCTTAAACAATGATGCGGCTAATTCATGGATTTTTACGGGCTAACGTAGTTCATACCGCTAGCGATCAATGACTTTCCTGGTAGGCTACTGTGTGTTATACTAGTAGCGTATGCCTGTCTGTGAATGTCTGTGTGCGTACATGTGCGTGGAGCAGTTTGAGCCCTGTCATGTTGTAGCGGGTGTTGGATCGGGGTGGCTGATAATAAAGACCCCAACTTCCCTGTTTCTGTTTACCTCTGCTGTGGACAAAGCACAAAGTGAAGGGAGTTAGTGGGCACAACTTATATACAGGTGCGCTCAATAGCCCGGAAATTACTGTATTTCACACCAAGCAAGTATTAGGAAATGTTTTGTGCTCTTGGCTTCTTTTGACGCTTCTAATGCATTTTATCTTTTTACTAAGAACTTTTTGCACAGGGTGCAAAAATAGACTTGTCTGTTTTTAATTACAATTTTAGAAAATATTCTTCTCCTGCCAATGACAGCAGGAGATTATATAAAGACAGTCTTTTTTACATAAAAGACTGTCGGAAAATGAAAACCTGCTGCAGAGTGCAATTCTAAAAGATTCTAAAAGGCTACTATTGACTCTGGATGTTTCTATGTCATAACGCCATTAACTCATTAATTTGTCTGAAGAGAACAGGAAATATCCTTTTGACGACACAAAAGTGGAGGCTGTAAGCTGTGTTGACCGCTAACAAAAGTCCATTCACCGAACCACTTCTCTGATGATAATTAGTAGGGAAGAGTGTGTTACAAAGCTGTGGCCCCCAGCTCCAGGTCGTTTGATGATAATGAGTCTTTTTCTTCAGCTTCAGTCACAGATAACTCCCACTGTCATCACCGTACAAGATCTACTGTACATCACATAAAGTGCCTGCTGTTTATTCCACGGCGGGAGGGTTGCTCTGTTAACCAAGAAGTATTTAAAAAGTATTTGAATGCAACCAACAAGATATGAGCAGTTGACTGTATCTTCTATAACATTGTAATCCACTAATCACTGATGGATTTTAGGTAATTTCCCTAAATTAATGTATGTTACACAAAAGATACTGAATCTCAACATCCTTGATATAAATGGATACTGGACTTTTTTTAATCACTTTTTTGATTATGTGTGATTCATAATCTAAAACTATGACTGTGTCATCTTGTGGTCTCAGTTATGACAAAAAAAATACACATATATGTATAGCAGTAAACTTAAAAGCAACAAATTCCTCAGCTAAAGTGGGTTTTTTTTTATTCAAGGACTCAGATTTTGTAAGGATTCAAGAAATATAAACACTAAAAATCCATTTTACTTGGCTGTGTAGTGACCCATTTATCAAAGAATTCTTTTCTACGCCACTTATTTTAATAACGTTCCAAAATAACCTTGATAAAGGCAAGCTCTCTGTTAGACCTGTCTTCACTTACAGGAAAAAACAATGCACTGTGGTGCTGTGTAGAAGTCAAACACAAAGAATTTCTTTTTATATGAAAGTTTTATATGAAACCTAATATTCCCATATTCTTGGGGAACTCAATTCAAAACGTAATTGTAAACTCAGTCCTTCTGTATGAACAGATTTTCAGTAACATTTGTTTTGTTGACACTTTAAAAATGTTTCATTACAAATATTTCTTGCTTAAACCTGTGCCATGGTCCCAGGTTGATCACCCTTGTTGACGTCAGATGTACTGAAGATTTAACTCTTGATTTAACATGTAATCAAATCAAACATAAACCCATTGAATTTTACTTTTAGTGATACTTCAGATTTGCAGTACTACTGCAATACAAAAATATAATTTAAAATAACTTGTCCTCTGTGGTATCCATTTTTACAATGATCTCTTTATCCTCAGTTTTATATCGAACCTCTGCAGTCACTATGAGGAATAAAATAAAAACCGTTGGTCATCCTGTATGACCGACAGTTTTGAATGACTTTGTGTTTATATTCACAAAGCACACGCTTCCCTCAGCAATTAGGATCCACCTGAGGCTCGGTGCTGCCTCAGCTGACATCCTGTACTCTTTTCTCCCACTTGTCTCCTAATTATTTTTTGTATATTTTGCTGTGAGCTGGCAGATAAAAGTAAAAAATAAATAAATAAGTAAATCAAAAAAGTGCTTTGATCTGATGAGGCAGTGGACTCCGGTGGCGGTGCTTATATTCAGGAGCAACAAGTCAACACTGTTGTTCCATTAGCCACAGAAACAAAGCTCTTTGACATTCAGACAGTGGTTACACTGCAGGCAGAAGTGACTCAAATCGGCAGGTGGTTTGTAAAAATGTGACCAAAGTCTGGTTATTAAACAGTGAAAACAGTACAAATGTGATTTTTTTTAATTTTTAATTTTATTTTCTTCAAATTCAAACCAGGACGCCTTTAAATGTGCTCTTATTTCGTACAATACAACGAGCTTGAAATGAGTAACATGACATTCATGCATGAGGAATCGAAAACAAAGAAAATAAATTTAGTTTGGATTCAGAACAAAGATGGTTGCAGTGATGAAACTGGGCAGAAAATGGCCATGGATGATCTTTCCATTTCCTGAAAGACTGGAGAAGTCATTTGTAAGACTTGATTTGTACATTAAATCTGTATCCGGACATTTTTTTTGGTCTGTTGGTTCAAATGTGTTTTAGAAAAATATTGCGGAAAGCAGACTGACCATCAGAGATAAATCTGATAGAACAGTATATAACCTGCTGCACTAACATGTAGTATTCAAAACCCAGAACTGATACAACGGCTCATTGAATCAGTGTGCAAAACAATGCACCTGCAGACTTTTTTGAACTCTGTTAAAAGTCACTGCTAAAAGTTTCTAGTTATTATTTAAATCACAGTCAGGCCCTCTTTAAACTGGCCAGCAACAGACACAGCAAACAGCGTTTGTGTTTAATGACAGGTTAATATCAGTCCCTGAGAGAACAGCAACCGTAAGATAAGGCGAACGTTTTCCTTCCTTTTGTTGCTGTAGAAGTAGAAGTAACCTCCTCTTGTCTTTTTTGATTGGACTTTTGTTCATAGTTGAAGCGTGGCCTCGACAGAGAGAAATAGACGTTCGTTATTTAATTTGTACTTACTGTAAATGAGAACATTAGGACTCTGCTGTTTATTTTCTTTCCATTACATGTAAATGAGAGGCTTCACGGAGATGAATGGACTCATAGAGGCGCGGACCATTTTCTGGCCTGATTTTGGTTCACAGATGCCTCATATACCGATGGCTAACTTTAACCTCTTGCGTTCAGAGCTCCTCTATTTACTTTAGTTTCTGGATGCAGTCAATGGTCTGCAGGAAGCATTGGTCCAGAACGTGGGAATACCTCTGAGGAGAAGGATGGAGAAAGGAGTCATTCAAACCTGGAATGACAAATAGGGGAGGCTGTTTACGTATGCCGTGTTTACATAAGTTTGTGTTTGGTTTGGTGGGTATTTGGGCATTTTGGAATAAATCTACACCTTTCTGCGTAATACAGCTGCATAAAACAATATTAAATTTGTTTGCCGAGGTGTAATTTATTTGGAAGTGATGACACTGTCAAACGACTGAAGTCGGCAGCTGTTGTATTTGTCTGTTTTCTTTTTCTATAAACAGAGTGTTGAACACTAAAGAAGCTTTATTTTAAAACTCAAGTCAAATGTGGGGAAGTACCCTGCATGCTCACTGACTCTGATTTGTCCTCACCTTTCTAAACTTGATTGGTTCTGGCCATATATTCTTCAAATTATATTAGTGTTGAATTTATTTATTTTAACTTTTAAATCCCAATATAAAAAAAAAATCTGTTTTACCAGAAATCACAAAAGAACCTTTATGTGAAACGTAACATTTAGCATGAAATTCAATGTAAATAGAGACGTGTTATTGGCTGCATGAACGCTCTGTTTGTTGCAGACTTTCAGAGCTGATTTCCTGCAGGGCACATGGTCACAAACCCAATGGTATATTATCTATTTCTCTTGTAAACACACGCCTCACTCAGCTACATTGAAGAGTTCCTCACGTTGTGTCCAGGAGATATTTTTCACACAAGCTGTTTTTTGTTGGTCTGGGGTATAAAGGCTTTCTTCATCACATCCACACGCTGATATTTTTGTCTTGTGGCACTTCTGCCTCAGTCCAATGAGGACCTGCCAATCTCCCACAGGGGCCTGGAAGAAATAGTGCGGTATTTGAAGCTGCACACTAACTCAGCCATGGTCTTAAATTAAGCGTGATGTGGAGGAAGAGAGGAGGGAGGGGCAAGCAGTAGGAGAGGTGGGGGCTTTACTGAAATCCTCACCGCCGTGTCGGAAGAAAAAGCAAAAAAAAAAGATGTTTAGATGAATGTTAGTGTGAATGTATGGGGCCGCAGCAACTAAGTTATGCACATCCACACAGCCTTGGAATTAGAATCAAATAGTAGTAGTAGTCACATAGAACAGTGATAATCAACTGAAGGTCTGCGGGCCCAATGTAGCCCAAAACCTGAATTCTAAAATAAGCATGAAATAATAATGCTAGACTAAAATGTGATATTTTTTTTATTCCATTTTAATTGAGTGTCCGGCCCCCAACATTGTTGGTGACCCCTGAGGTGCTCCTGGGAATGCAGGCAACAGCAGTTTGAAGATTATGCCTTTTTATTTTTTTAACCACTACTTATACACAGCCGATCTCATGTCATAAATGATTAGCACGTTTATTCACAAGGAAACACGAGGCTCATGGGAAGTCACCTGAGGTGTTTGCTGTTTGGATTGGACTTTCATCAATTTGCATTTATCCATCTTTTGCCAGAAACTCTAGGACATAAAAACAAGTGAAATACAGTAGTCACACCGTCTGGAGGAGATTTAGCATCCGTTTGTTTGATTAGCTTGGACGTCTCGTATGTCGTTGGTCCATGTATAAAGTACAGAAGACATTTCATAAAATGTAAAAGCGATAAAACAACAAACAGAAATTGTGTTTAATGTTGAATCTAATCAGCATCAGTATCGGGAGAAAAACTTGTCTGATGAGAGTATTGTAAGTTGAAAGATCAATTACAGTCACCGTTATGCAGAAAAACAAACGGAAATATGAACTGTTGCTGGGAAAAACTGTGTTAAAAAATTTAGAAAAAAAAAGAGATTTATCAGACATTAGTGTGGCAGGAGAGACTAATCTATTTCCTGAAGGCTGCTGTGTGACACATGTGACAGGAGAGGTGGGCCTCAGCTGGAGGTGACGCTGAGCAGGGACAGGCCTCTTCCCTGCTGGTTAGTGTCTTGTCTCCACTGTCAAAGTGCCTGGAGAAAAATATGCTTGGGTTGTCTCATCAAGTCACTGCAGAGCTGCAGGTCATCGTGCAGAGGTCTCTCTGTAGTACCCTCCGTACATATGTTGCCTCAATTTAAAAGACCAGTCGTGGAGCAACCAACAAGAGCAACCTTAATAGGTCTGTGTATTCAAAACGTGAGGGCCACGGAGGCATGGTGTACAGAGCAGGAACGCTGGTCTATAGGAGGCCCAGACTCTCCGTGGGCAGTTGCTGTTGTTTATAGAATCTTGCCAGTCTCACACAGGGAGACGCTGCCCCTGATGGACAGATGGGTGACAACCAGGAGAGCAACTACTGAGTCAGAGCGTCCAGAAAACTGAAGTAGTACATAAGATTCAGCTTGACTCTGATACAACCTGCTGAGATTGAGCTCTGCTGCTCACATAGACTTCATTTGGAATCTAATTTTGTCCTCTCCAGCTGCTGCTCCAGGATGACTGTTTTGCGACGCTCCTCCTGATACTTGTGCTCTGCCTCTGTGCATCTCTGGTTCATCTCTTTCTCACTGGAAAATATGGAATATTTTATGCAATACTGATATCTAAAATAACAAAAATCAATTCAACATTGCAAAAAAACAGAGAAAATAAGCAACAACTTTTAAACATACACAGAAATGACCCTGTCTCCCTGTTACCTTGTTTGTAGGACGTTGACCAGCTCAAGAAGTCTGTCCTTCTCCACACTGAGAACTTTATATTCATAGCTTTGGGTCATGAGTGCAGTAATATCAGCTGAGCATTGGGGACATTTTGCAGATTCGGGAGCCCTTCAAAGAGAATTACACACACATAAATATTTATGCAATCAGGATTACTGTGGTTTTAAATGAAGGATAACTGAAGTTAAACTTACTTTAACTCTATACTGCTCTTCAGATTGGGCAGCACCAATTTATGGCCATATTTATTAAGTGAACTGAAAAAGAGAATTGTAGTTTTATAGTCAAATAGATAAGACGTTGAAAGCTCAGTGAACCTTAGCTTAAACAGAACTGTCTTACAACATGCATGCTATTATTGACAGCCGAGATACAGACCAAGTGTGGATTATTCAATCAATTCAATTCAATACTACAGACCCTGACGATGTTTTTCTCTTGCCAATGTCTCCCTCTTCTGAGGAAAACTCAGAACTGCGGCTGCTCCTGACGCCGGACTGTCCTCCAACGCTATCCTCCTGTAGCAGCAAGTTTGACATTTTTAATTTTAAATAACTTGCTTGATTGCTTTTATATTGAGATAAAACATATTCAAGCATGTCTGGCCCAAAAAGGTAGAACACGGTGTTAGTAAAGAGTTTATTTTTCTCAGTCTTTCTTTGTTTACCGTGATGGAGAGTTGCTGTATTTCCTCCTTCAGTTGTTTAATCATCGTCTCCTTCTCAGCAACTGTTTGCCTGAGTTTTTGGAGGAGCACGTAGTGCTCTGCAGGCTCAGTGCTCAGCTGTTGTCTCAGGCTCTGATGGAACTCCTGATGGTTCTGCTGTTGGCTGAGCCGCCTTAGAACCTCCTGCATCTGTGTTTGCTGTTTCTGTCAGAGGTGAATGACATGACAAAAATATTTTTAAACAATCCTTCTATACAACACAGGGCTTGTTTTGACTGATAATTCTTAAAAAACATTTTCTTTTCCTCCAAATGTCCTACCAGCAGAGCATCCACAAGCTCATTGTCGTGTTTACCCTTGTCCAACAGGGTGGAAATCTGAACCTTGAGAGTTTTCATTTCAGCAGACTGGGATTTGTTCCTGGCCTTACAGGCATCCAGCCTTTTCTTCACCTCCTCGTGTTCCTTTTGGAGCACCTCATAATCCATTGAAATCCTCTAGGAGAGTGTTGGGAAAGATCAAGGACTATGTTTACATGGGTTTTGTTTGATTGTTTGATTCAAATCAACACACGCATCACTGACTGCACCATACCTCGAACGCTTCCCTCTTTTCCTTCTCAATGGTGCGGATGAAGCCGAGGTTCCTCTCCTGAGAAGGGGTTTTCAGACCCAGAAACTCTTCCTCCACACTCAGGACGCTCAACTGTCTCCTGGGTGTCGCCTGGCTCAGCTGCTGCTCTAGATCTTTTACCTGTGGTGTCCCACTTTGTTATTTGTAGTTTTATTAATTCATGTAACAACATCTTAGTCATCCTGCGTTGAAGACCAGACATCTTAAAATAGAGACTCCCATTAGGGAGGTAGAGAAGTAGATTGTACTTGTAATTTATTCACCCTTGTCTGCAGAGCCAGGATCTGTTGAGAGCGGCCCCTAAAGTTTCCCGGGGAGCTGAGTAATTGTTGAAGGTTGACTTCCTCTCCAACTTCACTGATTACAACCTGCAACAATCACAGGGTGCTCTTTAAAATACGGAGGTTTTTTTAGGTGTAATTGTATTTTAATGAACGCACAATGATCATTGTGCTAATTAATTCACACAGGAAGACATTACCTTGTGAGCTACCTTCAGCTCTTGTTTGAGGGACTGAACCTGGTTGCGATATTCAGTCACTTTGAACTGGACGGCAGATAATTTTTCCTGCAGTGATTTTACTGCCGGGTTCTCCTGCTTTAGTGACCAAACAAAGCCTGGTTTGAATCAACTGTCATTAATGTAACTTTGCTAGAATAGTCATATTGTTCAAAATACAATTTTTTTTACCTCATTGTCATCAGGCAACCTTCTCTGAGAGACTGACTTTGTGTCTATTTGTCCACTTGGAGATTGCACCAAAGCGGACTGCAGCTATGAGAAAAACAAAAAACAATTACCATAATATACTTGAATATTTTCTCATACTCATCTTTTCTGTTTATAACAATAAATCTAAATGCTGGTGAGTGAACTCACAAGCAGACTCCAGGCTAACTTTCCCTTGCATTACCTCCTTTTCAAGCTGTTTAATTCTGTTGCTGTGTTGCTTGGACTTGAGCTTTTCTCGCTCTACTTCCGTGGTTAGCTCTCTGTTCTTCTTGGCCAGCTCTACTATCTTGGTGGCTGCCAGATCCCCAGCCAACCCTGATGTCCCTAAGTGGTTGAGGAGGATATTATAAAGCATTTTTCACATCACTGTAGTTCAAATGTAAATAATAGTGGTGCATTTATACCTGCCAAAGCCAGTCTTTCTTCCTCTCGTTTCTTCTTTTGGTGTTTGATTTCCAACTCTTTTTCAGTCAGGAGTTTAAAGAGACGGCTATTTTCATCTTTCAGCTCTCTAAGTTGATCTGGCAAATTCTGATTGTCAGTGCCTTTAGATCTGATGGCGTAAGGGAGTTGTAATACCAGAAGAGATATGTTTAAATCAACAGGAGACAAAAAAAAGGAACTTTAACTGAGTGCTTATTGATTCATTCTTTAATAAGACTTACCTGTTATTTTCAGGTGCATTTTCCATCCGAGTGCCTTGTTTCAATAATTCTAAATCATCCTGCACAACAGTGACGTCAGGCTTGTCCGGTTCTTTCTTTCGTTTCCTGTCCAGTTTTCTTTCCTCTTGCTGTTTTTGTAGTGCTTGGAATTGAAGCCGGAGGTCATTTAATTCATCCCCTGGATCCATAGTCTGGGATTTGGACTTTTAAACTACAACCAGGGAAAACAGTACTAGTGATACTACATAATAATATTACCGAATATTATATTATATAAGCCGAAAGTAAATTACTTTTTCATTCAGTTAACATCTTGACAGTTATTTGTTCAGGTTAAGTTGCTCAAAAATGACAAAAAACTCACCTGTCATCTATTATTCGAAAACTCCTGGGCCTAGAAAGCATTTGTAGGTCTGCAGCGCATCAGCTGAGGAGCGTGCAGAAGCTTCTCCACTGACTGCAACGCTACTGTAGCTATAGCAACGCCACCAAACGCAGGAAACAAGATCTCGCGGGAGTTGGCCTCAAAAGTTGCCAAGAACGAGGACTACGCCCTTTGCTGTTTATGATTGGTTAAAATTCTACTATCCATGGGTGGAATTAACCAATTAGAGTTTAGAAAGCTGTTTTTTTTTTGTTTGTTTGTTTTGTATATTTAATTATTTTTGTTGATATGTTTTGTCTGAACAGATGACAGGCTAGATATTAAAAAGGACAACACTCTGTAATTTACCAGGTTTCTATGTTAAAGGTTACACAATACTGTATGACTGTAGGGTCATTCTCATCTCCACTGTGCAATTATATCTGTTATCACAGGAAACGCTGAGTCACAAACAAACATGTCACTGTTTTGTCTTTGTGATGTTGCAATTTAATAACCTGAATCTACGGCACTGCCAATTGTATCAACACTCTCAGATGTCCAACCTTGATTTTCCCCAGGCCTTGATCTGTTTTAATGTATTTTTTTCCTGTTTTTTTGATTTTCCCCAGGCCTTGATCTGTTTTTTAATTTATTTTTTTTCCTGTTTTTTAAAACATCAAACATGGTAATGAATTACAGAGAACAGGGAAGTTTATTTTACAAGAGTAGAAGGGTGTGGTTCAGGAGAACCCAAGTTGGTTTTATTATCAGGATGGTTTTATACCTAACCAAATGTTACTACCTAAAACATTCCATTTACAAAGGGACAGAAAATACTCACTATCTGTAAATGGAATTTGCAATATAATGGCATTACTACTATATTATAATAATAATGCCACAAAGTGGCAGTTTTAGCAACTTTTGTCTGTGGACTGCATGTCTGAATGCCTGGGGAAAAGATTAAACATTTTATGATTAAGTGCATCATAGACAGTACACGCAAATGAAAGTTTTCAGGGTAACAAGAACTTTTATTTTTACTTTCATAAAAATAATAAAGCAAATACTAATAAATAATTATATTTGTATTTATACACACATTCAAAATGTGTACAACTTACAAAGGCATGTTTCTGAGGATATCAAAAATAATTATACAGGGACTGCAGGTTTAAACCTCAGTTGTTGTTGTTTTTAACACTGTGTCTTATAAAGGCAAGCAAAATAATAGCCCACTATGAATCGCAGCAAAAATGATCACAAAAATGACTATCAACTGGCATAAAAACCAACAAAGACACTAATGTTATATTATTCCATTTCCTTATGTGGTTTAAGTTTTGTTACAAAAGTCATTGTCACTATTGAAATGTTGCTTTTTAAATGATGTCTCTTCATCTGACAGTTCTGTTCCTATCTCTGTGTTATAGAACCCTTACTTGTGATGCTTAAATGCACAGGGAAGCCCAGTGAGTGAAGCTATGTAGAATATGATCTGAGCATTTTGTTTGGCACAACACCCCTAAATCAATACAAATTCAACTACAGTATTTACGTGTAAAATTAAACAAGGTTGTTGACTTACAATCAAGTCCAAGTTTATTCATACAATATTTTAATTTGCTACATTAAAAACTTTCTATCTTCCACTCTCAAAATTCCAATAAGAGGCAGTAAAACTTGTGTCACCCGCGTACACAGACTTCACACCCGTCAGCTTTACATAGTCACACAATGTGAGTGTTCAGTGTTAAAGCATATGGTATGTATATATGCAGTTGATACAGTGGTAACACCTGGTGGAAGTAAAATGAATACATTATAACTATTTACAGTTAAGGTGAGCTGCTGAAAGGATGCGTGCAATACAAAACATAAAACACATTGATAGATAAAATAATACACACTTTATCATTGTGGACTTTGGATAGAGGATGGGTTTACTTTTTTTCTATTGCCTTTTGTTGTTCTCTTGGCTTTACCACATAATCTTGGTACATTTTGTAAATCACACCTGAAAAAAGAGAAGCAGATTGACAGTCACACAATGGCACATCTTGTAAACTGTTTCAAGATATGGTTACAATAAAACTAAGTGAAAAATAAATAAATAGTAAAAATAAAAATAAAAAAATAAGAAAGAATAAACTGACTAAATTGGGGGAAAATAAAAATAAAAAAATAAGTGAAATAAACTGACTAAATTGGGGGGAAAAAAACTGAAACTACCCTGACACTTAGGGCTACTTACCAACAGTCATGGCTCCAACTACAAAACCCTGAGCTGCCACACGCATATGGATTAGATGCACAGACATTTTTGTGTCTCCCCTACTCTTCATCTTCATCAATCTGTATCCAACAATTGCAAAGAATCCAGCTATTCCTGCAGGCAAAAAAAAAAAACACATATGAAGAAAGCCATACAGACAATAGAAATGCACTGTCATTATAAGGGTTCATTACTACTCAATAAATACACGTTCACTCTCATTACCAAATGTCAATGTTTATTTACGTTAAAACTATTTCATACTCACCCACTGGAACAAAAGGATTCTCCTTTGCTTTTTTTAACAACTTAGACTCATTGTCCTCGTAGACAGACATCCTTGGCAAAAAGAAATCAATAATGAAATTAATTCAACAATGAAAGCTTCTTTGATCACATTCTTTACTTTTGCATATGGTTGGGGCAGAACCATAACTGTACTATATAAAACTGCAGTAGCTGTTTCAGTTATGTTCACTTTATTTACCAGTTTAAATTTCCAACCCCCCAAACCAGGTTCGTGTAAAACCACACGAAGTCACCCTTAGAGGTTACATATGAAGGACATCGGTGTTAAAATTAAGTTCAGAGGTCTTAAAAATAGATACGACAATAAAATAGCATTTAAAAACGTACAGTGTTGTATAAGCACATGTTTTTGAGATAGGTCAAATATATTGACGAGACACCTATTCCTAATTCAGAGCGAGTAATATATCTTATATTACATAACAAAGTGGTCTTATTCTTTTACCTGTTTGTATGGAAGGAGTAGTTTGCTGTTGAAAACTCTGTAAAGAATTGTTCCGAATGGTATCGCTGAGTTTTGTAACGTCTTTGAATCCACGGATCTCTCACACAGTATCTACAGGAAGTAAAAGCCGGGGACGTGATGTAACCAAGGGTGAAAACCCTCACGTAACACGTTAGACTGACGTAATCAGCGACATAAGGGGAAGCTCTGTTCACGTGTAAAAGGAAAATGTAAACACGAAATATAAGTTGTTCACAAATGTTCACCACTATTCAGAGTTTTAAGAGTAATGATGGCAGTTCAAACAGTAAGCGTAATCTAGTTTGTGCTTTACCAGATAAATCCGCGGTCGCTATTTGACTCTAAAACATTCCTTTAGTTGTTAAGTGTTGTAATAACCCAGTTAACCTGAATGCACCAATCGTTTGCCACCCCCCTTCTACAAACAAAGATTTCGAAGCGAATGCAAGATAATAAAGGTCCGTTTTGTCATAATTTGTCATAATTTTTCATAGTTCCAAAACCGGAAGTATTTGTCCAAACACTATCTTAATATACGCACTAATCTCTGCGCTTATAACGCATTTGTCTTTTGTGCTTGGGGCATTGACCTCAATAAGAATAATAATAATAATAATAATAATAATAATAATAATAATAAGAAGAAGAAGAAGAAGAAGAAGAAGATTATTAATAACAATAAAAACATTTTGGCTTGACTCCAGGTCCTGGGAATTTAATTTTCATCACTTTCATTCACACACGTTTATTCTTCCTTGTTTATCCTTACGTTCACACTCTACTCTGCAGCATTGTGTGTAATGTGCAGTCATTATCATCCCTACATTATGTCTCTATTCAAACATCCACACTAAACCCAGTAGATGGCGCAGTGCACCATGGTACTATTGTGGGCCAGACGGGTTTCTCAACAAATAAATAAATAACAAATACAACTGGTCAACTATTGTTCAGTTAACAGTCAGTGAAAAAATTGTGGCTTTGACATAACATAGTTTTCTCTGATTTATTTAATGTATGCATGCAGTCATATACATTAACGTATAAATGCATTCTCATGCCTGATTTTCTTACTGTTATTGAGGACATTAGATGGGTATTGTTCTGAATATATTGATACTTTTTTGAAAGAAAAAATTGAGACTGAATTTTAAAATAATTTCTCAGGACTTTGGCTCGGTTGGCTACATTTGGCTACATAGTGTTCAATCACATTACCAAGAACATGTTACTGTAAACACAGACAAAATAATGTAGTAGTAACATGATGCAGTGAAACCAGGTCAGGGAGTGGCAGACAAGTAGAATTACATCGACAACAAAGGGAACCAAAAGCATTAGAAATATTTAGACCTGAGGTCTGATGGGCAGGTCCATTGATTGAACAGTAGGATTACAATAAATATTTTATTTTACACATTTTGAACAGTAGGATTACAATAAATATTTTCAGACATTTACATTTTTATTGTTGTTGCATTTTAATTTGCAGCATTAGAAGAATCTTTGTACCTTTGAGATTTTATGTGTTCTTTTTTTGGATACAGAGAATAACTATATGCAAATATGTAGTTAAAAGTAGTTAAAACATGCTGCTGGTCAAATTTTCTTAATGCTCATATTTTTTTTTAATAACTAGAGTCAATTAAATGAACATTTGTTGCGGCAGCGATCCGAAACAATGTTGATAGGAATTTAATGAATGAGTTAAAACCAGTCTGATGACAGTGTTTCTTTGTATGTGTGGTTCATCGGAACATCTGATAATCAGTTTATCAGATACACATTGAAAAACTTTAGCAGTAGAAAAAAATGACAGGGTTAAATGTTGTCTTCACAGTTTGATTTTTCAAAAAACACTCTAATTTGTCCAGTAGTCCAATAAAGGCACTATAACCCAGGTAGATGTACTTTTTCCATGGGTAATTTTATCCAAAAGCCAGACTTAGCCAGGAATTGATTCATGACTCACTGACTCAGTAGTTATACAGAGTGGTCAGGTGAGTTTAGTTTATTTTGCATTTTCTTCCAGTAAATTACATTCAAAACCTCATAAAGCATTTGTAATGCCTGAGGCATTGAAACTTTATTTTGCTGTATTCTGCAAGGACCTATTTAGACATATAAAACTAAATCCTGGAATTAAAACAAATTGCAGAATTAAACTGTCAAACAGCTGGCAATGTGAACTGCCCTCGCAAAGTAGGTTTCACCCATGTTTATTTTTCTCAAAATTCATGAATCATTTATTTGATTAATTTAACCAGTTTTGCAATTTTTGTTTGTTTTTTATTTATTTTTTACATTTTTAGTAAGTAACACTAAAAACTAACTTAACTATTATTTAATATTGCATACAACTCATAGTGGAAAAAATACACATTTACAAACATCTGTGACAAATGTTGACACTAGCTTTTTTGTCTTCTGGTAAACTTTTCTCTAGTTGACACTCTGTACCTTGTGGGGGAGTAGATGTTGGTATGCTGGACTGGTGAATTTTCAGCACAGTTGATTGGTTGAATACAGTGACCAAGTTTATCTTTGAATGACATTTGCTCAGCGGCACTTCTCTCCACCCACCAGACAACACTCACATGCATTTCATTATCCTGTTGTTTCTAGGTACGGACTTTACTGAAATGTGAAACTGCTCCCACAAGTGGGAGGAGTCTTGTGTCTCTTAAACATGCAGAACATGGACCATTACATTGCATAACTGCGTCAGCCATGGGACTGTTGCTTCCTATCCTTGCTTGCATTCTGGCCTCTGTGATTGGAGGACTGTACCTTCTTGGAGTGTTTCGACGGCGCCTACCAGGAGAACCCCCTTTGGATAAGGGGATCATTCCTTGGCTGGGTCATGTCTTGGAGTTTCGCAGGGACACACTGAAATTCATAGAGAGGATGCAGAAAAAGCATGGTGATGTGTTTACAATACAGCTGGGTGGGTTTTACATTACATTCCTTCAGGATCCGCTGTCATTTGGAGCATTTGTTAAGGAGAGCAGAGAAAAACTAGACTTCAGCAAGTTTGCCAAGGCTCTTGTACGTAAGGTGTTTGGTTATGTGGCAGAAGAGGAAGAGCATCACCTTCTCCAGGTTACCAGCAACAAGCATCTGAAAGGAGACGGGTTAAAGTTAATGACGGAGGCCATGATGGACAATTTACAGACCCTGATGCTGCACAGGGTGGGCTCAGTTTCAGACCAAAACCCCTGGATTGAAGACGGGCTGTTTATGTACAGCTACAATATTCTGTTCAGAGGTGGCTACTTGTCTCTGTATGGCAACACCCCGGCTGAGTCGGAAGAAAGTGAAGAGAAAGCCAAAGAGAAAGACAGGGCTGAGTCTCAAGCGTTGTTCTGTGAGTTTCGTAAATATGACCAACTCTTCCCTAACTTGGCTTATGGCGTGGTCACACCAACAGAAAGGATAGAAGCAAAGAGACTGATGGGAAAGTTTTGGAACGCTCTGTCAGTGCAGAAGATGATGGCCAAGAACAACATCAGCGGTTGGATACGGGACATGCAGCAGGCTAGGCACGAGTGGGGTATGAACACTTCAATGATCGACAGGTACATGTTTGTGCTTCTTTGGGCATCTCAGGGCAACACAGGACCCTCCTCATTTTGGCTGCTCCTCTACCTTATGAAACACCCAGAAGCCCTGGAAGCAGTGAAAGAAGAAGTGGACAGGGTTGTGAAGGAATCTGGACAAGAAATACGTCGCGGCGGCCCTCTGATCAACCTGACCCATGAAATGTTGCTGAGAACCCCGGTACTTGACAGCGCTCTGGATGAGTCCCTAAGACTCACTGCCGCACCCCTCCTCACCAGAGCTGTCCTGGAGGACATGACCCTCAAAATGGCAGACGGACGCGAGTACTTCATTCGCAAAGGTGACAGAATGGCAATGTTTCCTTACAGTGCGGTTCACATTGACCCAGAGATCCACCCTGACCCGCATTCTTTCAAATACGACCGCTTCCTCAATCCAGATGGGAGCAAGAAAACAGATTTCTACAAGCAGGGGAAGAAAGTGAGATATTACAACATGCCCTGGGGAGCTGGGGTTTCCATGTGTCCAGGTCGATTCTTCGCCAGCAACGAGATGAAGCAATTTGTTTTCTTGATGTTGGCCTATTTTGAGTTTGAGCTGAAGAACCCTGATGAAAATATCCCAGAAATTGATTACAGGCGCTGGGGCTTTGGTTCCATGCAGCCAGTCAAAGATGTTCAGTTTAGATACAGACTTAGGTTTTAAATCTGAGCTCCTCATTTTACCCACTATTTAAGCATTTGTAGAGAACAGAAAGTTTCCTAACTCATCTCTGTATATGTGTATACATTTTGAATATTTGCACAATTACCAGTGCTCTGTGTGCAGTTTGTTTCACATTCACATTAGCAATATAAACAGATGTTCATTTTAGTAGCTTACTTCTTACTTACTTATCTTAGTAGTTCAGTTTAGTAGCTTTGAGTAAAATGTGTTCAGATAATAGTACTTTAGATTGTCTCCATAGGTAATCAGTGAATGTAAAGAAAAAAATAATAGCCTTCACTTCTGTATCAATTATTGATTGGTATGTGTAAAAGTGATCCTGTTAAAAGCCTGCTGTCCACCAATGTCTGTTTGTACAACCAGGGGAGCAGGTCAGAGCAGATAAGAACAGAGAACTGTTTTGCAATACCATTACAGAACTGAAGAAGCTTCACGCTTTAACTTTGACCATGACCTGAATGACTGTGAAGCTTCATAGACACCATTAATAATGTTTCATTTACATTCACTGACCACTAGAGGTGACGCTCTGACAAAGCATATGTATACACTGTAACCTTCATTTTGCAAAGCATGTTTGTACAATTATATTTTAATTAAAGTCATTTCAAGAAAACAGTCTGTTGAGTGATAAGTCATGAACCATACATTTATGGGGTATGTCCTTTTGGCTTCAGTTCAATGAAAACACACAAATAAATATAACTGTAAATAATTGTAATATTTATTATTATATAGTAATATAATGATATTAAACTGTAGCCATGGAAAAATAATCAAAATGGAACAAAAATTCAACAGTATTTGCTCAAGTGTAAATTCCAGGGTAATTACAAAGTAAATGACAATTTAAAAAACTATAGATACATGGTAACAGTAGCTATTAATTAGCAAGTTACCTGGTTAGCTCATTGGAGAGACAGATAGATAGATACACAGTCTTCCATTTCCAAGCATGTTTTAAAGTAAACATTTAGAGGTGGTGACAATGCACACACGTGGTCCTCACAAACAAGAGGATGTTGTTTTCCTCAATGTCCTGCCTGTACTTGGTGGTGAAGGGTTTAAAAGAAAAATGACCCATTGTTTCCTTGTTTTTCTGACCCGTAGCAGTTTTACACTCCTACTCTGGATGTTCCATCACGAGGAAGAGGAAAAGCTGCTTTTTTATATCTGATATGTAGGTACTGCCTTTCATTTTGTTGTTGCGGGTATTGCAACGTTTCCACAGTATGTAAATTCACTTGTTGGCATTTAAATGAATAATGAATATAGCTTAAAGTAAGTGGAAAGAAAAGTGAGCATAGGTGTAAATATATAAATGACTTTTTGTTATTCTTATCTTTCTTTCATCTCTAATCTGTCAGTTCTCTGCCAAGAGTTGCACTTTATTTACTCTGCTTATCTCAAAGAAGGTGCATTTAAAACACACACACACACACACACAGGCTGATGGAAAAACAACCAGGACAATTATATTCATTTGAATTCTGTAATATTGTTTTAATGTTTGTATAGTCATGAAGTTGAGACACCAGACTCCTGTGATGATTTCCAGAAAATGTGAAGACGGGGTGTTTATCTAGGGTGGTCTTATTTATTTATCCAGTGACATCATCATCATGGAGTCATTGACCTCAGTGAGTGAATCTCTCAAAGGTTTTTTAAAGTTCAGACAGAAGTCTGAACTTTAAAAACACAGGCTTGCCATCTAGTGGCAGCAGATTTATTTTATATTGTTTGTGTGAGGAATAGTTTTATGTTGTTTTTTTTCCTACTCCGAAACAGTTGGGACAGCAGTGAGGTAAAGCTACAAAGGGGATTAAGTTATCATCCAATATTGTAACGTGTATGGGATAAGGATTTACATTAAACATCCACGATGCACCAAAAGTGCAGTCTGTTTAGATGAATCATATTTCCTGAAACACAACAACAGGGCGGGTTCACATTTGTTTGTGATCTGTCTACCTCTGAAAATTCCAGGCACATAATCCCAAGAAGAGTCAGTGACTATGAGGTTACCCACAGTTCTTTAAACTGCTGCAGGTATCAACCTGTAAATGACTTTAAGAATGCAATGTATGTGTATTAATGAAGAAACTTGTATTTTTGTGTTATTTCTGTGTAATCAGAAATGTGTACGAAGCTGTTAAAACATTTTAAAAGCTTTTTAAATGTTTAATGTGGCATATTCCATGATTTAAGGGAATGTTGGATAGTAAAAAGTGAATATATTTAACAACTGGTGAGTTTCTGAACTGACCACTTGTCCATTAAGCACACTATCTGTGTTCAGACTTGTCAAGCCATATATGTTAACTATATAGTCCATTCTATACTTTGTGGTTCTAATGTGACCTGTTGTTAGATAATTGTACTGCAGAGATATGGTATATTGCTGCTGTTAGGGGTCCTGCAGCCTTGCTACCAGTGGCTGGACTTCACTGAGTTGGAAAAAAAAGGAATCAGCACTGAGCCGTCTGGAAGGAGTGTGGTAGAGATTAGCTGTGTTTCGCACATCTCTGCTAGAGTCTGAATGACCCTGACAGTGTCTGCTGGTCCTTGGGGCTTCCCTTAAATCAGCCCATGACATATTCAGTGAATACAAGCCAAGCATTTTCTGTTTTGTTTTTTTATTTATTTGGATGGGCAGATATTGTAGCAAATCACACAATGAAGATATTACATAAGTAAAAAGAAATATTGACTTGTGTGTTAGGTCAGTCTGTCTCCCTCCCTAATCAGTGTTACCAGTGATTACCTGTTCATTAGACGTGTCTCCCAGTGCTTGGGTATGTACAGTATATGCCTCTCTCCCTCACTCAGTCCTGGTTGGGTCATCGAGTCATGCTATTGAGATTTCATGGTATGTGTTGTTTGTGTCTGTGCCTTAATACTAATGTAAAAAGGATAGTTCATATTTATGGAAAAGGAGACTGCAGACTGATGTAACATTAAATGTTAATTCAAAGCTGTACAATAATAATCTAGATGATTCCTATGGGAGAAATGCAACGTTGTTGTTATCTGCCTCAAGGCCTTTCATCTCAGTCACTTCAGCTGAATCCAGCCTCAGTCAAACTGGCACGGGACACACTGGGCCAGGAGGCAGGGAGGCTCAGCTGAGGCACACTGGTGAAAATGAAACAAATAAGAAAAGACTGCCACCACTGTGAGGGCTGACTGCAGGACGGCCCCTCGGAGGCTGGAAAGAGATTTTAATGATAGTGGTGGGTGGTTTTTTTTTTCTTTGTGTTGTTTATTTTCTCCAAGGCTGGTGGGGTGTGGGTGAATGTGGGGTCCAACATCTAAGTCACATGTTGGATCCTGGTCTCTTACATAAACTCTGCCCCCTCTCTGAGCCCACAGTCTGCTTGCATCAACTTTATGAAGCAAGTTCATGTGGACAGAACTACTGAGTTGACATTGGTGGTGACCGAGGAGAGGAGTCAAGATTTTCACTCCTTCCTGTTGCATAATTGCAGCAGATAGCTCCACAAACCCATACACATACAGTACATTCAATAATGGCTGTGATTTATATTGTTTAAATTACTCTCGTTTTATTTTTTTTATTTTTTTTCAAAATTATAAACTTAGCAGTCAGGATGCTAGTGTTGCTTTAAACTGCACTTGACCAGAACATTAAGCTAGACAAACCAAGGCCCAACATTTTTTAAAATCCTGATTTTGACTCATGATGTTACAATCAAGGCCAGAGTAAACCAAAACAAAGAGTCCTGTGGAGAGGAAGTGAGAACACTTCAGTTCAGAGTTAATATTTTACAGATAGATGACGTAAAATCTCCCATTAGGTTCTGTTTGAAACTGTTAACCTGTCTTCTTGGTGATCATCATTCCAGTAACTGAGCACCGTCTCTGGTGTGATGGATGGTGGACCTGCTCACGCTGCTCTATATCTTCACCTAATGGACGTACACAGGCCATAATTAAAGGTTGTTGAAGGCCCTCTGAACACAGTATTATAATAACAGGGTTACTGTGACACTAACCAGACACTTTTCATTAACACAAGCCAGACACTTAAAAGTTGAGCTTAGATCACTTCCTAGCCTTACCGGGGGGCCTGGCTCACACACCTAAGTGATGGAGAAATTCCTTTCTGATGTAAATTTTGCGTGATCACCTCCTCATCTCTGTACTCTGTCATGCATGAATAAAACAATCTGGTCAGGAGAGGGAGAATGAGACGCAGATGTGGCAAAAAGGAAGACCTGTGTCGACATGAACTCTCGTCATGTGAATCACTCTTAATTTACCTAAAGAAACCTGTGCTGCAGAGCTTTGTACTGTAGGCTGGTGGATGAGAGCTTGAAGAAGAAAAAGGGAGAAAGTCATCTCGCAGTGAGGAAGAGTGTGACCTGTCCGCTGATCTTATCTGGCCATCTGCCTGGATTGAAGATCTAAATATTATGACACTTGATGTAACCGAACATACCTGCTGGTTACATTCTAGCGGATCTGCACTCAGGCAAGGTGGTTTATGTCTCCAGGACATTTCTGTCCTCAAACTCCCTGTCTTTATCACGGCCCCATGCTTTCTTTTACAGCTGTCACCCGCCGAGCCGTGTTATGTAAAAATCCCCATGAACGCTGTTGTGTGTTTGGACGTTTGTCTTGTTTGTACGCTGCATAAACCTGAGAAAGACTTGGATGAAGTTTTTTCTTCAGGTTTGAGTAACAGTTATACTCCAAATGTGGCTTAACATTCAGGTTGACTTACTTCCTTCAAACGAATGTTGGCAAATGGGAAACAGACGGGCATTGTTGATTGTTTGTATTCTGTGAGAGCGTTCTCCAGATGATAGTGCTGCTAATTTGTGTGTTCTATGTTTGATGTGTGTGGGAATTTTACAGATGTAATGTAGCATGTCCGACTGAGCCTCTGCTGCTAAATAGGGGGTTGAGAAAAAGAGAGAGAAACAGAAGAAAGAGAGAGGGGGAGAAAGAGAGAGAGAGAGAGAGAGAGAGAGAGAGAGAGAGACCCTTAGCAGCTGTGGTACAATGTTACATTGAAGTATTGAGGGAGGCAGTGGTTACCACACCAGGGCAATCATTTCAGTTTATAGTGTCATATCCTCAAGTCTAAACTTCTGGATTAAGGTCACTTGCCAAAAGATCTTTTTTTGTTCTGCCTCTGTTTTTTATACTTCCTTCTTGGGCAAAAGGCTGGTGTAATAGAAACCAGACACAGGCCAGAATGTGAGGCATTCACAGCAGCAGGACCTCACATCTTCACAGACTGACAAAAGTAGATCAAAAGAAAGTCTGCTTTCATAAGTTTTAACTTCTTCTCTTTTTTGCCACCCTGCAAAATATCGATGAGTTGGCTGAAGCCAGGACACTGGGATGGATGAGGAAATCCATGGATCCAGATTTTGAGGCAATTTCCACAAAACACAGAAGAGGTCTTCAGGATGGAAAATGTTTCGACTCTTTGACCAGGTGGGTTGGCCGTTATTGACATTCTCACACATACACATTTATTACATTCGTATACAATTTGCAAATTGTGCAAACTGAGAATCTGAATGAATACTTGTTTTTGCTGCTCTTTCTTTAAAAATATGACTTTTCTATAAAGCAGGAGAACATGCAAACGATTTAGACCAATTAAAAAAAACAAAATTGATGAAAATAATTTAAAAATGTGCATCACACACTATTTAGACTATATTCAACACTGCCACATGTAGCTGCATGTGTCGGCATGTGTTGTAAAGCATTGTTAAAATTATCATCGTTCTAAAAGGTGATGAGGACATCGATTTTTGCAACAGTTTTTGCAAACATACTGTGAACTATAATACTGTGATCTCAGCTCCTCTGCAGGGAGATATAATATATATATTTATGCATAAATGTTAATCTCTGAGTCAGACCAAATATAAGTCAGAAAAGAAAATAAATACAATCTAGTTACTACCTTTACTACTTTTTTACTGTTTGTTTAACTCTATGAATTTGATGTTAATGCAGACAGGAGTAATCCACTGTTTGTTTAATCTGAGTTGTGTTATTCCATTCACAACAAAACAACACACCACACTTGTTCTATCAGACAGCATTGAGATGACACATCTCTCGCCAGAGATGGCAGTGTCACGGTGACGAGATCTGCATTAAGTCAATGACAGGAACCCATGAATGGAGGGTGTGTTGGTAATGGGTGACTGAATGACATCACCCATCTCCCATGTTAATGTGTTAAAACTTTTTTTTTCAATTTCTTACTAGGAATAACTTTTGTTAACACTCAAATGCCTGGTTTGTGTCTTAATTATTTGATATGCAAAGTAGAAGTGATAATTGTTTTACCAGACAATAATAGTAATTAACATAAAAAACAACTTAATAAATACAATTGGTATTTTATAGCTCTTAAGCTAGTGTTGGTTGATTAACTGATAAATAAACTGATAATTCTTTTGATCGTCTTTGTCTCCCTATAGTTCAAAATGGAGTTTATTGTCATTATGTCATTGTGTGTGTATAATGAAAATATCAAATTGTTTTAATTGTTCCAATTATTTACAGACTGTAGTTGAAAAACCTGAGAAACCAACATGAGCTGGAGCTTTCTCACTCGTCTTCTGGAAGAGATACACAACCACTCAACCTTTGTGGGGAAAGTATGGCTGACTGTGCTCATCATCTTCCGCATCGTGCTCACAGCCGTGGGAGGCGAGTCCATTTATTCGGACGAGCAGACCAAGTTTACCTGCAACACCAAACAGCCGGGTTGTGACAACGTATGCTACGACGCCTTTGCTCCCCTCTCGCACGTTCGATTCTGGGTCTTTCAGATCATCATGATCTCCACTCCTTCCATCATGTACATGGGTTATGCAATCCACAAGATAGCCCGCACCTCAGAGGAGGAGCGCAGGAAGCACCAACGGCTGCGCAGAAGAGCTGTGCTTCATTCAAGATGGAGAGACAGCCATCATTTGGAGGACGTCTTGGCACATGAGCACGGCGACGATGATGCTGAGCCCATGATCTATGAAGACCCACTGGAGGTCCAGGAGACCAGGCCTGAGCAGTTAAGCAACACCAGCAAAAATCCATCAAAACATGATGGACGGAGAAGAATTATGCAGGAAGGACTGATGAGGATGTATGTTCTTCAGCTCATGTCGCGAGCAATTTTTGAAGTAGCCTTCCTTGTAGGACAGTATCTGCTCTACGGTTTCCGAGTCGATCCTTTATATGTATGCAACAGGATTCCCTGTCCACACAGTGTGGACTGTTTCATTTCTAGGCCAACAGAAAAAACAATTTTCCTCCTCATCATGTATGTGGTCAGTTGCCTTTGTCTCATTCTAAATCTGTGCGAAATGCTCCATTTGGGAATTGGTGCTTTTCGAGATACACTCCGCCTAAAGAGAAACCGTGGCCAAGGAATATTCTACGGCTACCCCTTCTCTCGCCATGTGCCAGCCTCTCCTCCAGGGTACGCCCTCGTGATGAAAACAGACAAACATAAACGAATTGCAAACAGCCCCAATGAGCAGAACATGGATACAGTTTGCCAGGAGCTACAGTGTGCCAGCCCAGTGGAGAACATCCCGTCCGATCTGGCCAGTCTACATCGTCACCTGCGGGTCGCACAGGAGCAGCTTGACATGGCCTTTCAAACATACCAGACTAAAAGCAACAAGCAAATCTCCAGGACCAGTAGCCCTGTATCTGGAGGCACAATGGCAGAGCAAAATAGAGTCAACGCTGTTCATGAAAAGCAAGGAGCTCGGCCAAAGTCCGCCACAGAGAAGACCGTGAGCACAGTAAAAAATGGAAAGACCTCAGTCTGGATCTAGGCACTTTTTTTTTAATTTAACTGTAAAAATATGAAGACTCTAAGACTGTACAGTAACCCAAGAAGGTGTGACTGAGATAATGTGTCTTTAGGCCAAAAGAACTTCAGTCACTGTAGTTGCACTGCACATAATAGATGTAGTAAAGATGTATGTGAGGCAAATATCTAAACACTTTGGTTTGTTTCTTTTTTCTTTTGTACTTTTGTAGTTTGCCATAGTTTTCAGACACAATTTCCATTTTGCTCACATAGTTACTGTCTCTAAATCCAGCTGTGACATCCCATATGAACAGTACCCTAATGGGTGTTTTATCCATTCTACTGTAATAAACTAATGGGTGTTTTATCCATTCTACTGTTGTAATAAATTTTAACTCTGTGTGTGTGTGTGTGTGTGTGTGTGTGTGTGATTATACTGTAAAATGAAATCAGAATACACACAGTAGTTCCAAAAACTAGAAATGCACAGTTTGTGATTTTGAAAGACTGACTGTTTACCTCTTGTTTGAAAGACATGATTGATCTGTGGACTGTTATTTTGGAGAAAAAGTGGAGATGACTGTTTCTGGAAAAGGGATGAGAGGTCAAATATTTTACTGAATGACAAATATTTTGATAATGGTGATAAAATAGTGCTTTGTCACTGCAAACTCTTGGGGTAAACATCTGCTCAGTGTGATGAACTTCAGTCATTGCGTGCAAAGCTTTTATCCATTCCATGTTTTCCAGAGCTTAGCAGTTGTCACAAGTACAGGGAGAGATGTTAGGGGATGGAAAACTTGATATTTTGGGGGGCAGTGAATGCTTTCTTTCCTTCAATCTAAAGCAGATGATGCACACTCTACAAGAGGACAAAATACGGTACATTCGATTGGGGTGTTTACATTCTTTTCTAATTTAGTCAGCTTACATTTATGTTGTATTTATCCATCTTATCTCAAAGATGATATTTTCATTGGAGCAGTGTTTCTATAAAAGTATTTGAGGTTAAAAAAATTAATAATAAAATCCTGCCTTATTGATCTCATACGTCGAAGTGCCTCGGACATTGGGACTGTTCTTGTATTTCAATGATGAAAAAATAAATGTATTTTCAATCTGAAATGTCTTTATTTATAGATCATTTGCCCAGGAGTAAGCATAGTTTTTCCTATGCTTAGGAAAGAAATTTGAAAAAGTACTATATTCTTGTGCATAAAATTTGTAATGTGCTGCATTGCAGCGTCTATCTGTGTCTGATGGTATCTTTTGGTATTCATAAAGTCCCTAACACTCTGGGCTGAGATGCACCCTCAAACAATTACAGAGTGATTCCAAAGTAAGAGACATTGAAACAAACTTGATGATACAACTTAATTCAGTTCATTGTCATATATAATATTATTCATGTCAAAATCAATATGTAACTGGGCAACACAAAATTGTTCTAAAAAGGAATCGCTGATGTCTCTAGAAAGGTAGCAACAAAATGGTTTAACTCATAGACCAACTGTAAGTCAAACCATAAACTGAGTTCAAAAGCATTAGTCTCACAAATTACACAACATTTGGTGTCTGAAGTCTTGGGAAAATACCATAAAAATGAGAAAGTACAACCATTTCCCCGACTCAGCTAAAGCAATTAAAATCAATGATAGCAAAAAAAAAAAGAAAAAGAAAAAAAGTGAAGCTTTTATTGGGCTTTGTGGTTTAGGTTTATGTGTTTAAATAATGACTTTTGGAGCCAAACACTAGTTTTCGTCTGTTAATTTGTGGATAATTATCACCAGGTGCTGAATGCTATAAAATGAAGAATTTACTTGAGATAATAAGAAGTTTTGTAGAGTATAAAAACAATGTAGGCAACAATAGATGGGTGCGCACCACTCTGGTGCATCTGTGAAGATATTCCTGTTCATGTTAACCTTCCAGTTAATTCATGTGTTGGGTTTTTGGGGTTATATTGCTTCCAAGACTTTTTGTATGTCATTCAGCCCAAGTGTTTTAGCCAAGTTTGCATGGTAATCACTGTAAATCCAACTAGTGCTTTTTTGACACACTGTATCTGCAGCAGGATTATTTCTCGTAAAGATATATATTATTTCTCATGACATACAGGGAATAAAATATTATTCATATCTTATCAACAACATTGTTACAACATATGCATTTTAGTACAAAGTTTCATCTGTGTTTTTCCCTTCTGCATTTTTTTACTGATTGATATCCTTCACTGTTGTTTGCATGCTTGTTGCAAACTGTACTGTTCAATAAAATATACTCCATATTTTACAAAATCTATCTGCAAAGTATTTAGTAAATCAATTTGCTTCTTAAAGGACTGAAGGAGAGATGTTGACTAAAGTTAAATATAAATTAAATAGACATTTAAATAAACACAAAAGACACCCCAAAAAAGCTTAGAACATGACATAAAACAATTGAATCAATGATTTAAAATATTTGTTGGCAAAAATGTCATATTAATGCTAAGAAGAAACAATATTGCAAATGTTCTGTGTGTGTGTCAGTGTCATCAATACAAGTTTCATAAGTGAAAGTGTATTTCTTTCCTTTAAGATGTTGACGAAACACTGCTGATGCTAATTAATCTCATTATGATTACAACCCAAAAAACAGTGGCTATAAATGCATTTGCTGCATAGAAACAAATTATTAACCTTGAAAAAAATCAATAACGATAAATAAATTAGTTATTATTTCAACATACAAAAGATATAAATAAAAGAATATGTCCAAGACTGATTATTCGTTAAAATGCCTTTTCTGCTTACACATGTGTTAAATTGGATTATATCCACTGCAGGAACGTGGCACTGTTACAAAGTCTGTATTTTAATCATTTTTAATTCAAAAAGATCTCAATTTCAGAGCAAATCGTGACAACAGACTCAAATAGGAAAATGTTTAGTGACCTATATAAAAACTAAAATTTACAATTTTTTCAAACGCACCGAGTTGCTCCCTAATTGCTACTTCCGGTCTACTTCCTATGCTTCATTTTATGCTAAAAGACTGCGGCTGTGTTGAGGTAAATTTTGTATACGGTTTGTGAACACGTACCTTTACGTAAGGAGTGCGTACACACGTGTGTCTATATTTTGGAGAAGTGCATTATGGGATTTCAATATGGAGCACCCGTTACAGAAGTCATTCGTTTTGCCTTGCATGTAGCGTAAATAATCGAAGTAAACACTATTTAATTACGAATTGTGAAAACTTTGTACAAAATGGGACTTTTTTGCTTCGCCAGGAGCTTTTTCATGGCAAACCGTTACGCAGGGGTTTACTGCAGGGAACACATAGCTCGGTATTTCTCCCTAACATTTCGCGGTGGTGTTTCAGTTCTGCCAGCGACGCACGTCAAAAAGTACAGCCAGGATACTGCCGCAACTGCTGGACACTTTGTATGCTACCACCTCCCTAATAGGAGCGTGCTCAAAGTTCAAGGACAAGATACGAGCTCGTTTCTTCAAGGAATCATTACCAATGACATGAGGCAGCTTCTGGAAGAGCATTCGCTGACAGCCATGTACTCACACATGTTGAACGTACAGGGACGGACATTATATGACATCTTACTGTACAGGTAAAGTTCAAAAGCGCTGTAAATGTAGCCAGTAACCACAGGGGCGTGAGCGCTCATCTTATCACCGCAACGCAGTTGTACTTACAGTAGTCTAAATGATAACATTTCAAGTATTTTATTACTGTGTCAAGGTGACATCAAGACCTATTATTCAGCTAACGGTGAAGGCCAGTCTACTCTTTAAATTAGTAAATTATTACTTTGTCAGGCAACAATATACTCTAACTATTGTCATAAAGTGTTGAAAATAAAACTCTTCTCGGATTAGGTTGTATATATTGACCTTGACTGTATATTAATGTTTATGGCTATTCTCTCTTATACAAACCTTTATTCTTTACAACTAAGTTCAGAGACACTGTCAAGGTAATGTTAAATATTGGATAGAAAATCATAAAAAGAAGTTGGGGAGAGAGAGAGAGGGAGAGAGAGCAAAGACCATGTATATTAATGCATAAAAATAACCAAGGTTGATATGAAATGTAAAAGATGAACTTAAACACAACCAGAGTTTATTATCTTTGAAATATTTCTTATTAAAATGACAAAATCTATCAACAGTGTATATGGAAGAATACTGTTTTGTGAGCAATATTGGTCTTACAAATCATGTGATAATATATTGATGTTTAATAATTTAATAGAGTCATGCTATATGCTTAAATGATGTGCACTAGGCATAAGATGCTGTATGTGTTTGCAAAAGATGTGAATGTGAACTTCTTTGTGTGTCTTCTGTTTATACATAGCAGTGTAGCTAATTTAATGTTGGATCCTCTTAGAATAGTGGCACCTGCTGGGTGGGAGTGTGTTTTATATTGAAAACATTCACGTGACCATTTCTTATTTCAGACTACAAGGAGCTGATAGTGGACATGGTGTTCTTTTAGAGTGTGATTTCACTGTCAAGGACTCCATCCTAAAACTTTTGAAGATGTACAAGATTCGCAGAAAGGTCAGTATTGACGACTGTCCAGAACACAGTGTATGGGCGGTGCTACCTCAGCAGAAAATTTTGAGCCAAGAGGTGGGTCAGCCTAAGATTTCCTGCCCTGAAAAGGCCATGGTTTGGGAAGCTGATCCCAGAACTACAAAAATGGGCTGGAGATTGGTGATCGACAAGGAACTAGACCCCAGTGAGATAATTGCAACTTGTCAAAAAGCTGAAACGGATGAGTATCATAGACATCGCTTTACAATAGGTAAGTCCATATACTAGTGGTGTAATTGCATTTATTTACATTAAGTAAGAAAAAAAAACATCCGTCTAAACACTTTCTGATGTCATTGTTTTGTAGGAATTCCTGAGGGAGTGAAGGACCTGCCTCCTGGTGTTGCACTGCCATTAGAATCAAATTTGGTCTACATGCAGGGCATCAGCTTTAGCAAAGGCTGTTACATTGGCCAAGAACTCACAGCCAGAACTCATCATACCGGGGTCATTCGTAAACGCCTGATGCCTGTACGCTTTTCATCACCACTCCACAACCTAGAAGATGGAGCTGCGCTGCAAACGCAGTCAGGCAAACCAGCTGGAAAGCACCGATCAGGGGTTGGAAACCTCGGCTTGAGCTTAATACGATTGGCTTATGCCAAACAGGTGTTGACAGTCAAATCTTCTGATGATACCACATTGACACTAGAAGTGTCTGTGCCGGACTGGTGGCCTAAAGACTGGAATTCTAACTGAATAGTGTAGTTTGCAATTTTTAAACTGACAGAGCTTAACAGTACAGCATGTTTTTGACTGTTAGTTACAGTTTTTAGCTTGTGATTATTTTGTTTTCGCTTCCAGGAAACTTTCATTTAAGATTTATTTAATGGTTCTATTTAAAGGTTTGTGTGATATAAAATCAATCATTGTAGAGTATATGTTTAAGAAGAAATAAATTCACTCGTGTTTTTTAAACTTGATTTGTATTCTGCAAAACCAAATCCAAACATTCACAAGCAACATTTCTTAGACTGCAAAACATCTCTATACATAAGTGCGTTGACACTCTATCATTATCTTTTTAAAAAATGGCACTGCACATTCAAGCTAAATCCAGGTGAAAATAAAAACGGGGCATTTTATTCCTGATACAGTAGATGCTGCCCTCTTGTGGACTGAATGGTGTCTCGAATTTGTTGTAAAAGAGTCTCGGGCTGCAGTGACATTGATGAGTGATCCAGTCTCTTAAAGTCTTCATTGCAGAGTAAACATTCGAGCACGTGAGCCACTCTCTGCAGATCAAAAGCAGCATGATAAGGCCCGAGTGTGATCAGCATTTCTGAGATCTGCCGTGGGTAATTAGAAGGGTCCCCTGACGAGCAAGCATTCAAGAAAGCCATTCGGTTGTCAGAAATTATTTTTAAGAACGAGGCAAATTCAGCATAATCAATACCAGAGCAGGCCTTCATGATGACCTGGAAAAAAGGACAATCAAATGACAAAACGTCACCACTTTTTTATTTTACACTTACTCCAGCACTGGACAAAAAGTGTAATGTACCTGGCAGTGCTGATGCCAGGAATCCATTGTGTTTTTCCACTCATCTATTTCTTTCTGTACAGAAGACAGTTCATTTTGAAGGAACAACCACATGATGTCAACGTTGCAGCCATTCAACCAGTTGTGATTAATAGAAATTGTGTCCTCCTGCAAAAGAAAACATGATGTATCAAAATGTATTTAGCCTCTATTGTGCTAACATTTCAATTCCAGCTGTTTTTACCAGGTTATAAACTTGATGGTGCCACCCACTGGGCACAAAAATGATCTCGCCTGCCTCTTGAATAATCTCAAGAGGTTGACAGGCTTCCTCATATTGGGGAAAAAGACCTCTGTCCTGAAGCTCTGCTGATGTCACATCATACGGAAGGTTTCCATGAGTGTCTCGCAGAAACTCTTCCTGACCAGGGGGATAAAGAAGCCACTTCTTCCTGCCACAGATGTTTGCAGACCAACTGTAGGAGCGGAATACATCAGCATGGAATGGAGTCCTGGTGAGAAAAATGATTCCTTTTTTTATTTTTGTATGGTTTTTTTAATGTTATATTATTAATAATAATGTGAGATTTCATACCATGAACCTTTAGGGCCCATGTACACAAATCGATAATCATCCACTTCAAGTGTATCCCAGTATTCATTCAGCCAGTCAGAAGAAAAGAAAACTGGTGTTGTATAAATGTTGTGTTCTGGAAAGTCCCTGTGCAACAGTAACATAAATGCTTCCATGAGCAGGTTAACTGGCAACACGTGTATTTAAAAAATACATTTCCAATATAATTATCTGTCAGTTACAAGTTGTTTTTCATTGGAAGATAAAAAAACAAGGTCCTGTAACTGTGAAGGCTGGAAACTGCTGCTAGATGTGGGTTTTCTTTCAAACTTTTGGCAGAGTTGGATTAAAATGTCATGTTTGCTCTGGACTACTTTGGGAAATCGTCACAGTTTTTCCTGCATTAAGGTAATAATTGTGTAAGATGATGCAGGCATGATACTCTAAACAAGTTACAAAACAATTTTAAACCTTGACATGTGCCAGTCTTTTAGATAGAGACATCCTTTAGGCGAGGAGTGACCATTCTGAATATATTCCTTCCAGTAGTGTATAAATTCTTTAAAAGGCATGACTTGTTTAGGATTTGCATTATACTCCTTGGCATTGCAGTTTGCAACAGGAACAGGGATCTCGTCTGTAACAGAACAAATGATGACGTTTAATGGCACAACGACATTGTGGTACATAATAATTGGTGAAATGGTTATTTACCAAATTCTTGCAGTAGCTTCTGGAAATTAGGCTTCCCTTCCCCAGTCACCCACTGTTTTCTACATTTCCAATCCTGCGTGAACCTTCTCGAAAACATGCACGGGTGATTTGGAAGCAAGTATTTTTTGAAAAACTTTGAGTAGCTCAGCTCATTGTCAATGTAATCTACAAAATGTGAAGACCAAAACTGTTCATAGGATTGTCTAGGTATTTTGACCAAACTGCAGCAGTTACGGTATGCCTCCCGATCCATAATGGTAAATAACAACTCGGCTAACGTGCTATCAACCTTAGCTGCAAACGCCTAAATCAAAAGGAACGAAAATAAGAGACAAAACTATGGCAATCAGTTTTGTTGTAAATCTTAAAACAATCACTTGCTTTGCATAAATGCCATTATTGAAACGCGTATTTTGCCAATATACATTGACAAAGCATCTCAGCATATTACCTTGCAAGTTATTTCCTTAACGACGCACGTTAGGTACGGTTATTACGAATTTGTCAAGATGTTATTAATTTAACATTCTATGCCTATTTGCATCATCGCTCCTCATTAATTACGGTTACATTATTGCATTTGTCTGATACTATATTTCTCTCCTGTCCCCGAGCAGGCTTGTAGCGAAAACTGTATTTTCAAGCCGGAAAGTAAACACAGTCGGACCCATGTGACGTAATTTCCGTTGTAAACATCACCGTCTCAAATCGGAAGACAGCAGAGATAGTCGTTCTTTTTAGTGATATGGGGTTGATGTATTTGTTTTTGGATGCATATACTTTACTTAACCATGTTATGGCAAAACACGTGTGAAGAGGTTTGATAGGTGTAGCCCGTGTAAACGCTAAAACCCGACTGTTGCCTGTATTATTCTAAAAGACTACGGGACGCGTGTCATCTTCTGACAAGAAAAACATGAACATAGATGACTGACATAGAAGACTGCAAACGACTGTAAATGTACCTGATTCTTCTGTCACGGGGGGCTTATTTGTCTTTTCTAAAGTGAATCAGTGAGCCGTTTACACAATGAGCCGTGAGACTCCAATCATCCACAGCTGGCCTGGCTCCTATTACATTAACAGTGAAAAGCGATGGGAAAATGGCATCTTGTCTCTCACCAGGACCATGGTATCCTTCATCTCCAATCAGAGCAAAAACACTCTTGTCACTTTCCGGCTTTCCAGCATCGTGGAGATCAAGATGGAGTCATCAAGTTTTATCTTCAGCACACTTACAGTGCTGGAAGAGGGCAATGTCAAACACTGGTTTGGTTCCTTAAAGCCTAACAGGATTGTGGTTTTTAATGTGTTGGAACATTTTTGGAGAGAACGCCTCCTATCTACTGGTATAGACTCCCACAGGAGTGGCCCTCAGTCCTCTAAAGGCAGAGAGCTGATCAACCTGATGGCAGGGGCCCAACGACAGTTGGAGGACACGGGCAAAGTGCTGAGTCAACAAGGAGAGCAGTTTGATAATATGATGCAGGGGCTGGACAAGATTGATTCGGACCTGGGCGTTGCTGATAAGTAATTATTTTATAACTAATTACTTGATAATAGTTAGTGTAATGTACTTTTGCCTTAAGCTCTTGTTACTACACTAAAGGCAGTCTGTCTCCTGTGAGTGTGTATAACACAGTTGTTCCCAAAACGGTATGTGAAGCACAAAGATATCTTGGGGTTGGTAGGGGAGACACAAAAAGGCAAATACATTTCTGTATCCTGCCCCTTGGATCCAAGTATGTGGTTCTTTTGATAACAGAACCCAGTTTTTTTTTAATCGCTGGTCTGATCTACACCAGTAGAACATTTAAAATGTTGAAGTGGCTACAGTAAATTACCTCAATGTATCTCACTGTTTAAAGTCACTAGTGGAGAACTACCAAAAGGTGGCGCTGCAGGAAAAGTTTCAGAACCAGCGGTGCAATGTGTAAATGGTAATCTTAAATCTAAAGTTTTGCTCTAGGGAACACCCTCTCCTGATTTAATTTAAGGAATAAATAATGATGATAACAAATTATTTTAGAAGGGATTTTGTTTTTCAATTTCTGCCAATACAGACAATAGACACTTGATTAATTCACTGTTGACTCCCAACAGTCACAATTCTCCATATACTCTTTTCTACTTTTTCAGACTGTTGTCAAAGCTGGAGTCTCCTCCCTGGTGGCCTTTCGGTAAACTCCCCTGGAAGATGCAGCAGGAAGCCAAAGCTGAGGACGCAGCAAGAGCTGCAGCTTCTGCTGTCTCTGCATCAGCTGGCAGAGGGTCTGGTAGAAATAAAGTGATCTCTAGCATTCCTGATGTGGTATCCAAAGGTAGAGACTGTGACTTGAAGCCAGGATGCTTGTTAGTGCTTGTCTCCTCACTGGAGGTGCGAGACACAAACTGCCAGCTCCTTCATCGCTTTGAACGGAATGAAATTGATGAGATCAATGTCACGAGTCCTTATGAGATTGCTGTTAGACAGCGGTTTATTGGGAAGCCAGATATGTGCTACAGAATATTGTCTGCCAAAATGCCTGAAGCATTATCTGTGTTAGAGATGCAGTACAAAAAGAAGATTGAGTTCACGAGTGAATTCTTTGCATTCAAGGCAACACCTGCTTCCTCTCCATGTGACAAAGAAGCAGCTAACTGGAGTGAAGGTAATGTCATTTTTCTTATTGTCAATAATAATTTGACCACTGAGTGGCGCCAGAGCCTCGGCGCACTTTTTCAGCAGCCAGATGTAAAAACACTTCACCCAGGCGACGTTTGGATATGCTTATTGGTGTATCAGACATGTATTTTGATGAGTCACTTCACCCTGATTGCCTCAGTTGCTCTGCTCTAAGTTTACCGTCTGGTTTCCTCACAAACAACGTATGCACTCTGCTCTTTTTCACCACCTCCACCCATGGAGACAGGCTTGTTGCAGGGGTGCCAAGAGACAGATCTCCCACTGGAGGTCCCAGCAGGAGAGCTGTCCCAGCTGCAGGTGCAAGTCCTCCAACCAACTGTCAGCCAGGCTGAGGCCCAGGAACTAAAACAGGTGAGGTCCAGTTGGCCAATTTAGAGTTCCATTGCCTGGGAAATGCTATGATTCAAACAACCGTTGCATTATTTTTTTATTTATATATTTAAGGCAGGAATTACAAATGTCATGTCTCTGTGTGCAGGCAACATATTCCCTTGGCAGCTGCTTATAGTAAAATGTATTTTGATAGTACCATTCTAAACCACAGTTCATCATGATGATTTTTTTATTTTTTATCCTGTGTGTTTAAAGTGTTATTTGTCAGAACCACAAACCATAGTCCATCCTGGTTTTAAGAGAGGAAAAGAAACATGGTCAGTCATTTGCACAGACTGTACAACGTCTTTCCATTCACAAATTTGCAAGTGAGAACCGTTACAGACATGGTCTGTGGTGGCAAGACCTATACAGTGACGCAAATTCAGACCTATGATTCAGACAATGATTTGTGTGTGACACATGCACACAAACATACCAGTGCACAGAATGAGAGGTTGTTGTTGTTAAAATTAGATATGTTCATGTGACACTGCTGGTGATGCTAATTTGTGGGAAATGGTTAAAGGCCATTTACAAATTAAGACGATACATATTTTTTAAGTTTGATTTTTAGGTTTGATTTGTTTTATGTTATTAATTTAAAAAAAAACTCAACCATTTGATTTTGTTTTTTATAAAACAGTCATCATATTTTTTTATTTGTGTTGGATTGCTACTGGAATGTAAAGTAAGTGGATGTTAAAATATTCAAACATCTGGAGCACTGCATTTTCTGAACATAATAATTTTGTTTTGGGAGCTTGGACTATTTTACAGTGTATATAAATGTATTTATCAGTCGGTCTAAGAGCTGACCTAATTTTGAACGATAGCACAAACCGGTCTTTTGTCTTAACATCTGGATCCACACCTTTGAAATGCAATACAGCAGCCACCTGAGAGCTTGGTTTAGGTTTGGAACTCCCTGGACAAAGCAAAAAAAAAAACCTGGACTTGAGGAAAATACATTTGATATTCAGAAATTGGGAAGAGTTGGAAAATATCAACATGCATGAAGTATTAAGAAGTCGATTAGTGTGAGCATACAATACATTCACAAGGGATGGAATAAAACTGGGGGACCAGTACAATGAAAACAAGCACATCTTTGAGATATTTGACTAAAGCGTCGTCAGTTGGAGTTTCTTTAAAAATTATCATTTTTTTTCAACAAACATTTTTATCTCAATCGAAGGACTGTCTATAGTTGATTAATTATATTTTGTGTATACTGTTGTAGTCAAAACAACAATGCGCAGATGCCTGCTGTTGTTTTTGTCTATTTTTTAAATATAAAAAAGAAGAATTTTTTAGACAAATTCTTTGTGACACTAATAGCCTGAGGCCTGTCATACAGACTGGTTTCCTTTGAAATATATTGTCTTCGGCCGACACTGGCTCAGACTTCAGAGAATGCCGTTTTTGACTTAATACCATGCTGTAGTACACACCCTACTTTTAATGTGATTCATGTCGAGATTAGAATTGACAGTAGGGAAACTTGCACGGAGGGTCACTCAGTTTAATGTCCTTCCCTGAGTGCTTTAGCAAATATTCTCCTTTGTGGAATGATTTTAATATCATTATTATGGTTTGCGGTTGGAAATTCCAACATGTTTACAGGACAAATGGGTTCACTCATAATTTATTTTGTCTTTATTTTTCATCTTTCTCTTCACACTGTCCCCAAACTACCTCACCCTAATGGCCGTGGCACAAGAAGCTTCAGCTCATGTATGTTTCTATTAGTCCTAGTCTAAATGTTTAATCCTGCAGGTTTCTACATGACTTGAGTCCATTGGCCATTGTATATGCTGTAGCTAAAAATATTCATTTTCTCCGTTTTCCTATGACACATAAAAAAACCCCTTGTGAATATTAGCTGCGAGGTGTGATTCAGTTTCAGCTCGCCTAGGTGAAAGTGTGAAGTCACAGGCCGGAGGGTCTGGACCTGGTTTGTCTGTTGCGATGGCCACACATGCGCTGGTGAAAACTGACATAATGTGAGTCACTCTGCCAGTTAGCGAAAGGTGAGGCAGAAGCTAACGCTGGTGGCAGTTGTTGGAGTGATTGTTTATTAGGTTTTGCTTGGCTCCAGGCGGTTTGTTTCAGTTGCTCCGTCGACCGTAATGTATGCAGTACTTTTTTTTTTCCTATTGAGATGTAGTGACAGTATTCATTATACCCACAGACAACAGTTGATGTAATAAAGCTGATCCCAGTAGAGCAGTGAAGACATTCTGAACATGTTCCTGAGCATCCCACTGCAGCAGCAGAGGAAATACTGTTATTCTCTGTCCTCTGTTTAAGTACCTGTTATCACCTTATGATTTGTGACGCTGCAAGATATTGTTTTCAACCTGAATTTATACTTACTTCCTAACTCGCTGACCCCGTCTTTACAACTCTCCACAAAACATCCACATGGTTCACCTTTTCAACTGCTCGTCAGCTTTTGTGTGGGTTTTTCATATTCCTTTCCTTTTTTATGCGCCTCTTGTTCCTCGGGGCCAGTTGATCGTTCTTTTACTTTTTATTTTTTCTTTTTTTTTTTTTTTGATGAACTATTGTGGTGTGTGCGTGGTGAGCTGAGTAGTGTGTACTCATTTTGCCGTGTGCACATCTGCACAGATGTTGATGCAGCTGAAGAACCTTGCCCTGGAGGCAGAGACGGAACTGGAACGTCAGGATGAAGTCCTGGATGTCCTCACGAGCTCCACAGATCGAGCCACCATGAGCATCGACAAGCACACCTGCCGTATGAGGAGACTGCTGTAGCTCTGACACTCCAGCTGATGCATGCAGTCACTGTTTCCCCCCCCCGAGAGACTCAGTAGAAGGAATGTTCTTAGAGGAGACTGGAAAACTGCAGTAGGGATGTGCACATGCTCCGGAATAATTAAGATTTTAGTGATTTACTTTTAGTTGATTTGTGATGTTGTTATTTATTGGTAGGAGAGTGCATGGCATCAGCCAAGTCTCCTTAGTTAATCGAATCGACAAGACATTTCATTGGTCCTCAGTTATAATGGAATTCCATGATGATCAACTGCCACTGTTTTTCAGTTTTTTATTAATTTTCTTGGTTTATTATTAGACTGGCGTCCTGATGAAGTACGCTGACAGATTGACTTTGGATGTTTGTCTTAGCAACTGTGGCTCGCATTTGTTTCCAATGCATTTAACTGTAGAGACAGAAGGTTTATTGCCATTTTTTGCCAGAAAAAGGACAACCACTGAACCCATTCAAGATGTTACCAGTGATATAGCTAGCTTTAGCCTAACCTTTGCATCTACCATTATTATTATTGAAAAGGAATAAGGTTATACTGTTATATGATCAATGTGTATAAATATATATACATATATATGTATAGAGAGAAATATACTTATCTACATATACATATAAATATATGTGTGTGTATATATATATATATATATATATATATATATATATGGCCAGAAGTCATTAAGACTGTGTCCATGTTGATACACTCTGATACACTTATAACTAATAACTGCAGTTTGACTAAGGAGTAAAAGCATGATGCATTTCTTCAACCCATGACTTGGCATGTTGCAGTTTCTCCATCTCTCCGCTTGCTCACTGTATATTTTAAACTAGTGTTCACACAGACAAACCTTCCTATCTCAGTCCTCATCTACTGTAAACCACTTGAGGTTGTTGCTACTGTACTGTCACTACTAGCTAAAAAAACCTGATAAATTGTAGTTCTCTCTAATTCACTATGTTCTGTAACATTTGTTCTGTTTTATTGTGTAGACCAAAAAGCTATATAAACTGCTGTGTTACCATGTCCAACAACCAGTCTGCTGCGGGACCCATAAAGAATTACTTGGTCATCCACAGGTATTTTAAACTGGAATAATGTTAAATCACTTCAGCTGCTGTCTATGCTCAGATCAGGGAAGCAGCTCCTTTTCTGCACTTTGCTGTTAAAACATCCTCTTGGCTCCGAAACTGTTAGCATCAGCTGACCACCCCCGTTGGGCGGCTTTCATCAAACAGGGTCTAGGTGGCAGGGGTTCATCTGCATCCACACTGGGTCAGATTTACCTTGGCATGTGGCTAAACACACAGGGGTCTGAAGAAAGTTCCCCTCAGCAGCCAGCTCCTAGTTTGCATGAAGTTGTCTTGTATGTTAAACAAGTCCACACTGAGAGATGGGAGACTGGAGACACAAATACAAGATGACACACACAGATCAGATGTTTTTGTGTTACTGTAGATTTGATTGATATACTGTATCAATGTCATATTGTGGAAGTCCCAAAATCCAGGAGCACACCACATGGTTATATGAATCCCAGTCCCTAAAAAAGGTTAGGGGAGTTGAGTACACACACTGGCGTGGTTTTAAAGCAGCCTTGCAATATGAGGAAGTGGTGGCGGTCTTGTCTGACCACAGATTCATGAGATCCGGCTTTGCCTTCCTAACGGATGGTATGGAGACACGAGGGATTTCTCTGGCCTTGACTTCCAAGACTGTTTACTTGATAGTTCTGCGGCGGGCAGTCTCGTTTGAGGAACGTGTCTCCATTGATGGCCAATCAATCAACTCTTCTCCTAGGAAAAAAAAAAAAAGTGCAACCCATAATTGTGGGCGATGAGGGCACATGTAGGATGGGCTCCAGAATGTACGGCCATGTGACTGCAGTCCAAACAGACCGGAGCTGCCATCTTCCTGACTACTGTGTGTTAGTGTGAGAGATAACCTCTGGATCCACTCGACTCGTATTCGACTAAAGCCTGAGATGTTTTGAAATACCAGGTTCCATTGTTGCTCTTACTCTGACACATTAAAAAAAAAGGACTTCTGCTACTATTAGAATCTCAGAATATAGTGGCCTGAGTTTTGCCTCATGTCCTGGCCAGGCTGTTACTCGTGCAGGTGTTGCTGTGTTTCCGTTTGCTGAGGGAGTTTCTGGTTTCAGGAAATAAGGCCTGTTGTTTAATGTTAGAACTGGGAGAAAACGTTCTTGGAAGGAAGATTCCTGAGTTCAACCAGGGGGTGTATGTTTTTTGTCTACCAGAAATTGATATGACACTCGACATCCTCTATGTCTTCTGTTTTCTTAATGGAACTGTGGCGTTTTCCCTATGTTTTACAAATTTCTTTTAAATGTGTTTGTTTTGTTTTAATGGTGAATACATGCTCTGGTTTTTATATCATGACATTTTCCTCCACCTTATCAATAAGTCAGTGGTATTTTTAGGGTTGTGATTGTCCTAGGTCCACTTTCTGTTTTCCTCTGTTATGTAAAACCTGTCACTTCTCTGTGACACAAGCAGTTACATCACATCTACATTATCTTTCCATGTGTCTGGAACCTTCCTTGAATGTTATTACATTCATGCTGTATGTTTTTTTTTTAGATATATAAGGATTACTCACAAAGTTATAAGACAATTTCAAACAAATACTTCATTTCTTGTGAGCTACAGTATTGCTCTCTACATCCTCAGTTTGCAGTTAGTCTAAACTGAAAGCTGTGATCTCACCTGAGAATTTCTTATTTGTGAAATTCCAGGGGAGTCATTTGCTGCCTTTGCCATTCCTTTGAAATGTTCTTCAGTTTAGGGGAAAGAAGAAAATAATGTTTGGTGTGGGTTTCTACTTTTGTTGGTTGAAAAGTAGAAACAAAAACTTGATAGACTTGGTATTCAAACGCTGTCCTAATGTCCTGAATTGTTTTGGATATACATATATATATATATATGCTGTATATGTTACACAATAGGAAGTAAAACGTGGATTTAAATGGTAACAGTTTTTATGTGCTGGTTACACTCAGTAGAGGGCAGCAGTAGGTTGTTGACAGTGTGATTCAATTCATTAACTCCAGATCTTCATTGCATATTGGTGCTGTTTGCAGCTCCATTAGGATAAGCAGTCCGAAATGGCTCCTGGTGTTGTCCTGTATATACTGTATATATATATGTGTGTGTGTGTGTAGTTTTATTTGATATTTGCACTCTTCCATATCAACCTATAGAAACATCCTTGTTCCTGTCACCCAAATACCAGTCTTTGTAACTTTTCCTCAAACACAGACCACTTCTCTGCACTGGAAGATGGATCTTTGCTAAGTGTTAGAAGTGCATTTTTGTGTCGACTGGATTATATATTCATTAAAGCTCCATCCATATTGCTCCCCAAACAGGTTGTCAGGCCGTGAGCCAGCTTACACCGCATCACTACTTTTACAAGTGGGCCCCCCAGAAACCTTCAGCAGGTCTGTTTTTAGTGGCTCTCGCTGCAAATGGAAACACTTAGCTCCCACAATAAATTACCCGCCCGACTAATGCCACACTGCGGAGACCCCCAGGCAGTCTGGGGGCAGTCTATGGATTTATATGGCTTATTAACATTAAATCCTTTTTTTGAATCTGTGTTGTTGTAGTGACTCTGACTCACGAGAACTGACAAGAGGACAGGAAAAAATAATCACACAAAGGTTGATGCACTTGCGAGCAGCCTGCAGGGCAGCAGTTTGATTAAAGTTAAGGATGCCCCCCCACCCCCCTACCTCCATCTAGTAGGGTTTACAATGGGGTCATTTTGGGATAAAAATAGAACGCCTTGCTTATTTTGCTCTCTGGGAAGAACACAGTCATTAGCGCAGCAGGCCAGTGATCTCTGGGGCAACACTGGTGTTCAGCATAAACTGTTGTTTATAATGCATCCTGTTGATTAAAAGAGACATCTGACATAGTTGGCCCCGCTGCTATATAGAGCGTCCGCAGCACAAACACTGAGGGTGAACACAGTCCTCTGAGGTCACTGTGAAAACATACTTAAAAGCACTTGACTTAAACTTCTGTATTGAATGTCAAGGTGTGTTAGGACGGCAGAGCAGACGTTAGGATCCCTCGCCACGAGCGCCTGTGAAATAATCCCAATTATCATTCTGCCAAACCTATGTGTTTGACCACCTGGTGACGCAATCGCAGCTGACCAAATAGATTGTTGAAATATTGCCCCGCTGTTATAGCTACGTTGTGACAGAGTTGTGTGTTCACCGAGAGCCAGCACAACCATAACAAACACAGCTGAATCTGGGGTTTACATTTCAGCCGGATGACGGCGCACCCA